GGTGCCGGCCCGGCGCGGGGCTGCGGCGGGAGCGGGCAGAGCCGGGCGCGGGGTCTGGCGGGACTCGCCCGGCGGGATGGGACGGGGCCGCGCTGCTGTTGTGGCGGCTCCGCAGGTGGCGGAGCGTGGTGCGGGGTGTGCGCGGGCAGGACGGGGAGAGCTGACAATTCGGGACTTAAGCCGTGTCAACAACAGGTAGATTTAGGGAAATGAGTTGGTGGCTGCTTTCCTTTCCGCTGAGCCCTGCTTTGGAGCCGTAGCTGGCTGACCCGGCTGCTCCTCATGATTAAACGACGCAGTTCTTCAGTGCTTCACTTTCCTGTGTTCGCTGCGTGGCAGAGAAGATTAAAAGCTGTGTGTCGTGATCATGTTCTAATAAGCAATGTTTGCCCGTGAGAAGAAACATGAATTTCAGAGAGGACGTGGTTTGCTGTGCAGAAGGGCACAAACCTGCTGGCTATACACAGCTGTGTGTTCTTATAGACAAAAATCCCAGCAAAACCCCACAGCATAGAATACAAATTTATAACCTATTTATGCTTGCACTGTACTTTTATTTTTATTGTACTTTTATTTTTATTATTTATTTTATTTTAAACAGAATGAAAGTATACTTTAGTACTGGAGTGAGACTTCAAGTGAATAAATTAACTCTAAAAACTTAGTTAAAAAGTAGCAATTATCTCTCTGTTAGAATCACTCTTGTTTCATTCAATGCAAAAGTAATAATTGATATAATTTTTTAATAGTAAAGACAAAAACCTCGACTTAAATGTAAAGAAAGTGAGCAGATCTATTCTGCCTTTATTCCTTCAAGCTACAGTTCAGGGGTCAGCCTTCAGTTTTTGCAGGAAGAAAGAGAACAAGAGGAAGAGGAGCAAGACAAGGCTGGCTACAGCAGCTGTGTCTGTTCAATGTGTAACTCCAGCAGGAGGGTAATGCCACATGCCACTCTTGTAACAGCTAAGTACAAGTGGTGTGTTGGAGATATAGGCAGTGTCTTATGTGAGGAAATCACTTAATGTTTCATTATTCAGTCAGCTGAGTTCAATATAGATATGTACTAAAGTATAGAATAGGAAAGCTCATCCATAGGTGTTGTTTTTTATTTTTAGTGTTGGATTTTGGGTTTAACTACTTGAGTGAACAAGGAAGATTTATTATATGTGTTTTGTCTTCCATTATCAGTGTCTTGCAGTTGTCTGTTCTTGTCCTGCAGTGTAATCCTGGTCAGAGGTGTAACATGGTCTTACCTCTTGTGACCATGGGCTTGGTACCTTGATCTGTTTTCAGGCCTATTCCTTCTAGGTGGTGTAGTCAGCTAGAGACAAACGTTTCTCCTTTCATCCTCCTCCCTCCCCTTGATCTTCTAGAACAGTCTGTCAGTGTTTACTCTTTTTTGTCTTTTCCATGCCTAGATTTCTTTGAAGCTTCTGATTCTCACTGGAAAAACTTCTGCCTTTCACTGGTCCTTCCTTTGGGTAAAACAGTTACCTTTTTTCTTTCTTACTGCTTTGTCTTTTGAGGAAGTTACAGATGAAATTCAAATGTTTCACTTTGTTACAACTGAGAAACCTTTGACACCCAGCAAATGCTTTCAGAGTTTTATAACATCAGTTTGAAATAAATGCAAAAGATAAAGAGAGGAATAGAAGCCTCTAGAAATATATGAAAGGAACACTTTAGTACTACCACCTCAGCTGACAAAAAGTTGTTTGTGTCAGTGCAGCATTGCCAAAGCTCAAGTACTCTAAGTGAAAGTAGCCACAGATGTAAAACCTTCAGGCTATTTTTGGTTGAAAAAACTATGGCAGCAGACTGTTGATTTAAGAATGCATTTTCTTTTCCGATGACTAAGGTCAGATTTTTTTAGCTTAGAAAAAGGAATTAAGATTTTTTTGTTTCTCTCAGATGTTATTCAGATGTTTGATTCTCTTCATACCTCTCTGATTTGGCAACATGCTTTGCTGTTTCTCTGTAAGAGCACACATCACCTTTCCTGTCCCGGAAGTTGCACATTGATTAGTTTGTTCTTTCTGACCTACGTGGCTTACAGTTAGCTTAGAGAAGTGGGTAGTAGTAGAAGTACTGGAAGTAGTCTCTTGTTTAGCTTACAAATAATTGCTCTCTAGATATTTTGTTTGAATTCTACCACAACAAGAGATGGGATTTTTCAGCTGGTAGTGTCTGTTGAGCTGTATTCACCTAAAGTGTCATGATAACTAGTGCCAGTAGTAAAATATGTTATTAGAGCTGCTGCTCCATTTTCATTTCCACATTTTTTCCAAAGCAAGGTGTCTTCTCTTTGTGTGGTCTCAAGGTAGCTTGCCTCAGACTCAGTCCTCTTCTAGGCTTTTCAGTGTAGGCCAATGGGGTCAAGAGAGTGTCCTCACAGAACTTGCTTACTAGTTTGAGAGTTCAGGACACAAACAAAAACGTCTTGCAGACATAATTTGTGGGCAAGAGCTTCCAAGATGAATAAATATCCATAGACAGATGACTTTATGTTCTCTCTGACCAAGTATTTAAACGCTTTTTGCTGTGGTACAAGACAGAACCCACGGTCAGGTTTGGGATATAGCAATCCACTTTTCTGGTGTTTGTGTTGAAAAAGCTGGCATCAGTAGTTAGTTTCACTGTGGATTTTTGTCACACCTATCTATGCTAGGATGGCATCAAGGCAACTATAATAGAACTTTAGCTAAAGTGATTTATGGCCTTGTCATCATTGGTGGTGCATTTAAATAATAATAGCAGAAGATCTCTATATTGCCATAGAATGGAAGTTACTGTTGATTTGGGGAAAAATAAGTACCTATACTACATGTAGATCAAGGCTTACTGACCTCTCCTCTGTAATTCCTGCAGGTATCTTTGTGGATCCTGCCTGTTTATCAGGTGTGTATTATTCTGGTGATGACCATATCACAATCTTTACCTGAGCCTGTTCCTAGCCCTGGGATTCTCCTGTCTCAGGACACATATCAGAATATGATGAGACCTAGTGTCTTGTGTCAAGGCTAAGGAACCATATTACAACATTGTGCAGAGACTAGCTCAAGGTGCAGGGAGGGCCTTAGGTGCATTTTTAGGTTATTATTGTACCAGTTGTCTGTACAGATTATTGTGTAAAATTCTTTTAATTTAATTAATTAATTCAATTTAAGTTGAAAAAGAGCTGAGTGTATTGTTTTTCTTAGCAATAATACGGTAGTCTCTCAGAAATCTTGTGTGACTGCAGAGTTCAGGAAGTCTCAAAGTGGTGTTTAGTCCTATAACATTGCCTGTGCAGCAAGTATGAGTGATGTGTAGGCTAAATTGATAACTGGTAAGTGAAAACTACATTCAAATCAAGTCTGAGAAGACATCCATAAGCAGCTTATCTTACAGAACTTGTATTATTGTATACAGATGAATAACGTATACTGATATACCCGTACTAATCTATTCTGGATTTTGGACTCATATAAAAGAATAAAAATAATGTAATGGCTTGTGGACTGTTTATTTTGATTCTAGATCAAAATAAGGGTCTCACCTGAACATGCATGGCACACACTTAAAGTCCAATTAAAAAAAAAAAAAAAGTGGAGGGTTTGTTTGTAATAGTGTCTTGCATCAGAAATATATGCTCTTTATGTAGTCTTATGATGAAAGTTAATTTTTAGTGAATTTTATGACTAAGCAAGGGGAAAACAGCATCGCTTTGAATCATCCTCTGTCACTATCTGACAGGTAATGCTTTGAACTTGAGCTTTATCCTCTAACCACTTTTTCACATGGCTTGGTTTAACTTTTATGGGACAATATCTCTGCACTATGTTAAATGTTGTTTCTGGAAATACATTTTCTGCAATGATTCTGGTAGGTAAATAGACCAGCACCAAGGAATGCTTCATTTTGTCTCTATTATTTTCTTTGAACTTTATTAAAAGACAAAGCAGAAACATACAGCCACTACCATGCTTACCATTTTCTTTTTCCTAAACAGCTGTTATTTGAATAAGATCTCATCTGTGTTTTTTCCTCACCTCTCTCTTTGGCCACCATTATTTGAAGCATACTCTCATCTCATGTGTGTTAACTGCTTTTATGAACTCACCAATTGCACTGCATCAAAGACAGGTGGCCATAAGTAGTTGGCTTGCTTTTTTATTTTTTTTGCCTCTTTTATTTTTTTATTTTTGGGTTCCTGCATCCTTCCAGCGTATCATTAAGTGCTCTGGCAATTGGTACTGCTAAAGATTCTTGTTGGATTCATGCTTTCAAGGTGTCTACACAATGTATCAGATGCTTCAGCATAAATATCACAAGTGGTGGTTGTTCCTGTATGGGGTGTTATTTCATCTGAGTTAGCCAATAATTTGACAGTAGTACCACTTGGCCAAAATAGGAATGACAATAGGGCAGAGCGGTAGTGGCAGGAAATTAGGACAAAATACATGGCAGAAACACTAGAGTTCTCTGATCTGTGTGGTGAGCTTTACTCCAGGGTTCTGCTGAAGCAGCCCTTGCCCTACTGTCAGGCAGCTCTTCCTTCAGTTAGCCCTGAGTCCCCACTGGGCTGTAGGTGCCATGCTCCACAGATACACTCTACACACGTTTTCCAGCTACAGCTTTGCTGTATGCCTTGCCATAGTGAAGTAGCTGAAATCAATTAGTCACATGCAGTGTGAATACATGTGTTTTGATGTTGCATGTCCTTAGTAGCTAGTGTGTTTTCATGAGCTCATTTGGGAGCTTTTTGACCTTTGTTCCTTGTGCAACAACGAACAGGACTTCTGTTTGTAGAAGTATTGGAAGCAGTCTGGTCAGGTACTTCAGGAAATGTTTGTCTGTCTAAAATGTGAATAGTGGTAATTAAGGTTGTGCATAATTTTGGAGTACTCATTTTTTGACCTCTGAGCACTGAAAAACTATGGGCACAGTGACTTTTACTAGCATTTGTATGAGTTTTACATCAGAGGAGATTGAGAGCTGAGTGAAGAAATCCACAGAAGGAATCAATTTTTCTGGTTTTGAAACATGTTGAGTTATTTAAAAACAAATTCCTATTAACAACACTCAGTAACTTCACAATCTAAAAACCTTTGTATGTCATTGAAATGATCTTGAATGCAAATAATGAAAATCTAGGATTACTTCTGCTGAGTTTCTAGTACTTTGCAAAGGAGAAGCAGCTGCCTTTGTGTATATAATTACAGGCCAGTAACAATTCTTTGTTTTCCTAATGTTCACAGAGTGTATTTTTTTTTTTTTTTTTTTTTTTTTTTTTTTTGCTGCCACATTTTGTGTAAAGTTCTGGCAAAGCAGCAGTCAAGCAGAAGTTATTAGCCTCCTTCAATTACAGTCTTTAAATCTGGTGTGAAATGTTGAACAAAATATATTTTACAGAATACATAGTCTACGAAACAGTAACTTAACTATAATTGAGTACATCCTTCTGCTACCTAGAGTCATTGTCTAACTTAATGGTATAAACTAACAGAGAGAGGTTTTCTAGTTTGTTCTTACTTAAAACTTTTCTTTGTCTGACACATTAAGTTTTGTCTTGTTTGAATGAAAATAACCATTATTAAAATTTCTACTCTTAATGGCAGATAAGTTGTGCTTCACTTTTGTACTGCTAGACAGTATTATCATATTATATTATATTATATTAGATCTATTATTTAAATAAAGATTCAGCATAGGGTAGGGAGGAGAATCAATAGATGAACACAAAATGTATCAGTAACAGTAGTAGTGAATATTTTTCAGTTTAATTGACTTTAAACTGAAAATTTCTGGATCTCTTTTTCCTTGCCTTCAGGTCAGTGATGATGGTGTCAAAACTAGTCCCTAACAATATGCCTTATATTTGTCTCTGTAAATGGCATGAAACATAAGTCTAGTGTAATAGTACATTAAACATTCTGTTATTGCTTCCTCTGGTGATAAAGCAAAACATGAAAGTCTGTCAACGTCTTAAAATCTATTTGTCAGGCTGTTGCATCTTTGGATCAGAACTTTTTTGTTCTCTTAAGAGAACAGACTTTTGTAGCTATTTAATTCAGAAGATTTCCAGTGCCTCTGTAAAGCGAGTTTTCTTAGAATAGTACTTTAAAGGTAGGAAATTACTAACAAGGTTTCTTATGTTCTTTTCATTGTCACAAATGCATATAAACCCTCTTCATGGATCAGCAAAGCCTTCAAACCTTGATTTGTCCTTTAACCGATACATCGTATGCTTGTTTTTTGTTCTGTATCCTGCCTTGCAAAGAGAATACATGCTAAAACAGTGTACTCAAATATTAAGCTTTGATGGTACATTGGGTTACATTTTTAACTTTTACCTGCTTGTTTTGTCTGTGCAGGAGGTGAACGTTTAATTGCAAATTTAGTGTGTTCTGTTCACTGTATAGTGCTCTGATAGTGAACAAAGAATGCCTCCTGGTGTTACCATCTTGATAAGCTGGCATCTCATCAGAGTCTATATCAAGATTTTGGCAAAGATAGCTCATGATTTCTAGAGATACACCTGGATATAGTCACTGACAAGACTGGTGCAGACAACTATTATGATGAAAATGAGTCTTTGTTTCCTCACTGCTTACTGTAGTGAATGTGTATAGGCAATCATCTCAAATTACGCATCCTTTGGTGAGTTCTGTCTATTGTGGTGCTCCACTTTCTTCACCACAGTTCTTTGGTACACCAGAGCCTCTTATACAGGACACTGGCAGCTACTTTGTGGTCTCCTTTTTCTTCATGTGGGTGAGAAAGGGAATGGGTTCTGGCTTGTTTTGAACCCAGCACTCAGTGGTTGTTGGCTGAGTCTGGATGCAAATAACCAAATTCCAGCTAACATAACATCAGAAGTCTCTAATCTGGATTTCTCCTCTGCCTGCCTGTTTCTATGAGATCTCATCTGTGACCCTGTCATACTTGCTCTTCAACTATTTGAGCTAGATGTCTTTTTCCTGATGAAGTGATCACTAGTGGTTTGTTGAAAGCCACTGTATTTAGAGAAGGAGCGTGCATTCACTCAGGAAATGAAAATTCCAACTAGCATATTTTGTGCAATGTACAGTGTTTAGATAGGAGAAACTGAACACTCTCTACTTCCTCAGAATGAAACATGTTGGACTCTCATTGTGCTACTGGGCTTCCCTCCATGTGTTGGGTGTCACTGTGCTCCTTTCTAGAGTCCTTGCTGCAAATCAGACTAGTGTCAGGAGCAAACAGAGAAGGACAAGCTGAGGGCAGTGGTAAAGCAGACAGCTCTGGAGTATTTGGGGCATGAAAACTGCTGAGGGCTTCCAAATGACTGAAGCATAAGGAGCTATTTGTGTGGCTGATTCGTGTGGTGAGAGTGGCAGTTTTCTCAGGGCAGCTAACAGGTGTGGACACTTCTTGTTCCAAATGGAAGGAAGGTGTGTGGATCTGTGTTGCCTTCGCATGAGAAAATTTCGTTGGTTGAGTCCAACCCTGTTTAATCACAGGGGTGGTGAACAGGTGTGCTGCTCATGTGATGACATTTTCCTACCAAAGCAGCTGTAGCTACTTTCAGTAGATTTACTGGCACTTTGCACTTCTTGTAGAAGTGCTTCCTATACTGTGAAGTAACAGAAGGATTGGTTTTATTGCTTAAAAAAAAAGAGAAAAATTATTTACACATTCACCAATATATAAAGACAGAGAGAAATGAAAGAAAGAAACTTATGCCAAAGTTATTACAAACTTTTTAACTGGTTGTGTAAACCAAGCGATCTGCATTACTTTTAGTGTCCTTATGTTAAAACAAGCATGTAGATTAACAGAGCATCCTTTAATGTTGTTCAGTTGTGCTATACTTCATGTATCTCCAATTTTTGATGCAGTTAGGCATTTCTCAAAGTCTTGGATCAAGGTTGCTTTTCTGAGAAGTCTTGATGCTGGGAAGTCAGGTATAGTTCTGCTAACATTTATGACTAGTGTACCTACTAAAATTTTGCTATTCAGTTTCTACAAAGCCATGCAGAACCAAACATTTCAGACAGAATTGGTTAATGTAAAATTGGTGCATCTCCATTCAGGTTAAAAAAACTTAAAAAAAAATCTCTCTGCTAACCCTCGGATGTGTGGAAAAATTGAAAATTTAATTTAAAAGAATACTGTTGGAATATGGTTTTAGTAATGGCAAGAATCTCTGTGTTTTGTCTTTTAATTAGACCTGTTTAGTGTCCTTGTAACATGCTTCTAATCTGTTTTTTTCTGGTGAGATAAGGTCTGTTACTAGCAATTAATAAGATAAACCAGCTTTAGGGTAACTTCAGTTTGGTACTGTTTTGCCTTGATATTTGAAGACAGCTGCCTTGCTTTAAAAATGTTGAAACGAAATATATTTTCATTTGTTAAATTCATTGTTTTGAAGAGTTTGCAGTGTTTTCCATATTCAGCTCATATTTTAAAATAATTTTACTATTGAACAGGCACTATCTATTTAAAATGAATAAGAACAAAAGGTGAATGTGCAATGAAAATAGACCTAGCTTTTGCATAACTGGGATCCATGTGGAATTTTCACCTTGAGAATGGATTCCTGACATGAATTATTTTGATACTGAATGAAGGCTGGGATCCATTTCTAGTCTGAGACACTGCTGTTTCTTAAAATTAATTCTCATGGATCTGGCATTTCACAACAACAAAAAAATACCAACCAAACAAACAAACAAAAAAACCCCAAAAAAACAAAAAAAACCCAACCTTTTTTATGATCACAAAAATTTGATTTCCTGGGGTTTTAACTTGGGTATTGCATGAGGTCTTGGTTACGTGTTCTTAACTGTAGCTTTTTTATTTCATGTTTTGCATTCAAGTTGAGCTGGCACACAGCATGTTTAAAAGCTTTAGAAGACAGGCATGATGTATCTCACAGTCTCCTGAAAAGAAAGCAGACTTTTCTATATTAGTGTCTTCTGTTAGGCTGCACAATGGGAGGTCTTTGTAAGGATTTCTTTCCAAATAACAGAAGATCTACCTCCAAAGTTAAAGTAACATACTTTAACAGACTTCTGAAAATAAGTGGACTAGGTAGGCTGAAATCTTGCAGCTTACAAATTATTGCTGGGTGTATGCAGCAACATATGAAGTTGTTGATGTTTGAAGGTCATCTGGTAACAAATGGCTATTTGTAGACAGAGAACTTGATTTACAAAGAAAAATATTTTGTCAAATAATAAACAATAAATTGGTAGAATTGTTTTAGATTTTTCAAGGTTTTTCATATAGTTAAATGAAAGATATGTCTTAAATACAATAATATAATCTTAATAAATGAAATATAATGTGACCTCCAAATTTGGAGGACATTTATATCTGTCTTCTAGAGACTGGCAGTATATGCCAGTGGAAGGATCAATCAAACCCTTCTCTTATGAGGTTTTTATGGTTTTTTTGTTTGTTTGTTTTCCTGGAGACCATATAATTGGCTAGATGATATAAACCAGATTGGTGGTGTATTCTCTGATCAGGTAGTTCATAGGCTATTGCTAAACAATGTGAAACTCTTTTTGTGGAAGAAGGTGTAAAATGCTTCTACAGCTTACATGAATGAAAAAAAAAAATAAACAGTTGTCTGATTTTACAGTTGTAGGACAATGTTGATAGTGGTGGGATAGGTGTGAGCAGTACTTTAGCTGCTTACACACTTGATATCTCTGAACAGTACTCATATGCAATGAAGCTGGGAATGATTTGTATGGATGGCACTTGTACTGTAATTTCCTATTAATATAAAGATCAGAGCCTCTGTTGGGCAGCCCAAAAAGCTCCTATCAAGTATTGTTTTAAATATCTTATTTTTAGATTGGGTGGCATAATAGGCTATTAGGCTTCATGTAGAGAAGCCCTTCTTACTTTCAAAACCTTACAGATATTGCAAGGGAAAACGCTAATTTTACATAGAAATGTGTACACAGTATCTTTAACATAGCATTTGAAAGATTTTAGTCTAGTTGTTTCTTTTGTGCCACCAGGTGGCATGGGACTACAGTCTGTTTAATTTTTTTTTTCTTTCCGTTATCTGCATATTGATTTCTTCTTGTTTTCAGTTCATCAGTTTTACAAGTTTCTAGAATTTATCTTTAAACTGTTGGGATTCTAGGATGTTGCTCCTACATCTCATTTATCTTAATCTGGTTCTGTCATCAAAATATATTTTTGTCTTTTTTGGAAACAGCAGCTGTCTGCCTGTGTTGCATTTTAAAACCTGTTTCTGTTTTCAGGATGTATCAATCTAAGAAGCAGAAATAACAAGCAGTGCATCAGCACTTAACACAGCCCATAAAACACAGAGACAAACTAATAGCGTTAAAGAAATACTAAAACATATTGTCTGAAAGTTACAAAGAACTTCCATAAAGGTAGAATTATAGTAATGACAGTTTAGAATCCAAAAACATGGTTGGTAACTCTTGGTAAGGGTTTGGTTTTCTTTTTTTATTTTTTTCATTCCTGAGGACTTTGCAAAACCAAGAGGATTTGAAAGAACGTACACCTCAATTTAGAAAGGAGACCTAATCCTTTACAAATGACAGTTGCTGAAGAGAAAAAGGAAAATATTTCAAGTATATTACTGTTGAAAGGGAAAAAAGTGTCATGTATAGATGTTGTTTCTAATATTATGCTACAGTCCTAAGAAAATAAGCCAGTGGTGCTGGGAAAAAGTCATTAAAATCATAAGTCACAGAGTAGCTGTCTGCAGAATCAATGGTATATGTGTTGAATGTAGTGGTAAAATGTAGATGCCTGAAACTGAAGCAGGTTTTGCGGTTATGACTGCTGCTTGTAAAAATATCTAATCATGTGTTGTATATTTTCAGATATGAATTCAACTTTAAGAATAGAAAGTGACTGTTTTTTTTTTCTTTTTGTTCTCTTGTCACTTCTTGTTACATTTAAGTCATTCTGAGGAAATAAAGAAATTACTGTTAATAATGATAGATATCCCTAAGGTCATATTAAATAATCTGGTCTTTTTGATTCTGTAAAAGCAAGCACATTTGTGCCTGATAAAAAGAATCCCTCAAATAATTTGGAAGGAGTGGCTAGTACATGAGAGGGTGGTAGCATTTTGGGGTGTCTTGATTGGCTGTGCTCCCTCCTGCATCCCAACAATACAGTGATTAGATACAGTGATTAAATTGCTTTGCAGGATCTCTCTCTTCCTTCCAAGTTGCACTGGAAGATCTGTTGACTTCTTTCAATTCACACTGGTGTTGTTCTGCAGCCTTCCTCTTGTGGAGCTCTCTAGAATATCTACAAAATCCTGTTGTTTGGCAATTGGAGATTACCTTCTGACTGAAAGTGCCATTAGCTTGATCTCTCTTTTACAGGATTTTCTTGACAATTGTAATGGCCTAGTTATACAGATTATTCCTGTGATCAGGCTGTGAAGGGATCTCTTATGCCCATGAAGTTCTTGTGTTAATTTCTCTCCAACTTTCATTGAAAATCAGAAAAGTGGTATTTATATTTTACATGTGTAGGACAAAAAATCTGAAATATTTACAATATCCTCTTAATCCCATCATGATGTGACTGACTTGTAAAAAATCGCTTTCTTTTTTATGTTCTGATAAATGAAAATATCAGATTTTTGGAAATGAAAGATGTAAAAAAAGTTGAATTAGATATTATTGCTACTTGACAATGTGAGACTTTAGAGAGTATCTTTGTATCCCTGTCTAAATTTTGTGCTGTGAATTCAAGTTCACAGAGGAAAAATGTATCATACATTTTTCGCTTGTTATTTTTGTTACTTTCTCTTGTACTGAAAAGAGGAAGTTCTGTGTTTTGCATCAATTCCTTATTAGTTTGTCTTTATGTAAAATATAAAGTAAAGATATATTTGAATTTTCTCTATGCTCGCACACTATTGTGAATTTTTTTGTTGCTGTTGGGTTTTTTTAGGGTCTGTCAAGACCCAAGAATTTTTCTGAGAAATAATTAAACTTGACTTTTTTTTTTTTTCTCTCCCCCAGGGCCAGCTTTCAATATTGCAAGAAAAAATAGATCATTTAGAACGCCTGTTGGCAGAAAATAATGAGATTATTTCAAACATACGTGATTCTGTGATCAATCTGAGTGAATCAGTAAAGGATGGGCAAAAAAATCCAGAAGCTGTAAACTTCGGTCCAAGATCTGTTTCTGAGCTGTTCCCTTCTGCTTCAGTTTTGCTTGCAGTTGATTCTGAGGATTGTTTGTTTGCTTCAAAAAGTAGAAGTCACAGTTCAGGTGTACAGGTAAGCACTATGCCTTTCTAATTCTGCTGAAGTTTTAGCTGTCACTATGTGTTTAATTCTGAAAATGTCAAGTTGCTGCTAAAATCTTGGTACTAAGACATAATAGAATTGTTGAAGTGACTGCTGTGTTTAACAGATGTTATGAAAATGTTCCTTTATATCTTTATAAAAAGCTCTCTGAAAATTGAGTAATGATTATGAAGAGCCAACATTTGAGAAATCTTAAAAGTCTTTTGTAAAAAATAAAAAAATGCCATGGTGATTATTGTCCCACCATTTCTTTGGAAACAATTTGAGAGTTTCTTTCAGTTTCCCAAAGACTTCTAAAACCGATGAAAAATAAACGGGAAATAGTGGATAGGCTTGGTTTGAATAGATTTTACTTTTAGGGATGTATGTAGATGAAGGTGGATGGGGAGGTAAACAATGTTCAAGAGTTAGTAATTTCAAAAAAATCGTGGGTCCTGTGTTCCCTTTTGAATGTCATTTCTGTATTTCAGCATTTCCTGTGTGTCTCCAGTTTGTATAGACACTTTGATCAGAAAGGAAGAACATATACCATGTTGACTGCTTGGCATAAACTGTGGAGGTTGAAGTTTTTAAAGTCAAACATTTCAAGTTGAATTTATTTTGCTTTCTGGTGATGCTTCTGAGTTCATGGACTCTTATATATTCAGTTTTAATGGAGTGATTCAGGAGCACTGAGAATACTCTGTGAAGTTTGTGATCTGTACTGTTTTTGTGAGTCTTGTGGGAGTATTATAAATATTCATAGTACTCTAAAGCAAAGATTAAATTTTGAAGTCCAGCTTTCTCATTTTAGAATTTGAAGTATTTCTATTGCAGGAGAAAGACAGTGGACTTCAGACCAATAAATACACATATTAGAACAATTGTAATCTCTGATGTATCGTGCTTAATACTTTTAAACTCTTCAGGGATAGGCACTAACTTAATGTCTTTTATAGAGAAAGTAGACTTTTTAAAGGCAATGTCTGAACACCTCTTTGTGTGTCTGATATGTGTTAAGACTTCTGTGCAGGGAAGTGAAACATCTGGAGCTGTGGTTACTGGCTTTCAAGTTAGTGGATTATTAACAGGTTATTCATTGTACAATCTGTTACCATGTTAGGTGATGTACTTTGTTATGTGCATTAAAAATAAGTTTTAGTAAATGAATTTTGAGATAAAATATGTTGTCTTAAATTCTTGGGCATGTTAACCTGTTATGACTGGAAGGTAAAACATGTTTTCTAAAACTGGTCTTTGTTTTTTGCTTCACCCATGCAGAATATAAGAATATACACCTGCTGTCACCCAACTACCTACTACCTATCTAGTGGGAGTCTGTTGTAGTGACACTGCTTTTGGATAATTTTCTTTACTTTTATGTACATTTGCATGTACATAAGAAGCAAACGTACTGTTCCCCTACTCATGTTTTCCTTTCTTCCTTGTGCAGGGAGGAGGGCTTTAATGTTCTCTATGTCTTTGCATTGCACTCCCTGCTCAGCAGGTTATTCACTGCCATCATTAAGACACTTTAATAGTGCTTCTGTACACAGTTTCCCATCCTGTGAGTCTGAACTGCATTTTTCAGTTATGGAATCTAAGACCTTGACTTTAGCAGAATTCCTCCAGCACCATGTTAACAAGCTGATCTAAATCACTGATCTAAATAGTAAAACTAAAAACAGTTTTACTGTTTAATACTTTACCAACCCTGATGTATTCTGCATGCTCAGTTAATTTATTTGACACATTTTCAATAGTTATTCTGAACACTTTCTGAAAGAAACATGTATTAATTGCTGCTGTTTGTAAACATTAACTTAAATCCACATGTTTTTACATTACTTCTCCCGTGTTTGTGTCTCAGGTGGATGTATGAGGGACTGGAAAGTAGTAAGAGCTAATATAGGTGAGATTAAGTGTTTGGATTTAAAAAAAACCCAAAAACAACAAAAAACCACTTTACAGAATGAAGGCAAAATAGTCTTCACTGAATAAATCATGGAAGTTGATTATAGTCTCCCATAATGGAGAAACCATTGTAAGAAGGTATTCAAATATCAATTAAAAAACCTTGTGATGATACAGTGAGAAATATTGCTAGATTTGCTACTCAAAGGCATGTGATTTCATAAAACAGAAAAACCAAGTTGCTAACAACATGAGACCAAAGGATTCTCATATGGGACATCTGAAGGATGTTTGTTTCATGGAGGAATTATAAATCAAGAAACTGTTTACTTGCTACTTTTGCTGTTTGTAAGTTGGTAGAAAGCTGAAACAACTGGAAACTGAAAATAAAGCTGACTTGAGAATGCTATAATTTAAGTCAGGTAAAAGACTAATGTGTGCTTTTTCCCCAAAAGATAAATAATAGAGACAGGTAATAAACACACAAAAATGAAGATGACTGGATTAAATATGGATATGACCTGATGCTTTTTCAGTTTAGTAGTTCAAGAATTATCTGGCACTTGTGCTCAGAGGAGATGGAATTCTCAATAGCCATCATGCTGAGCTGCTAGGTCGTTTAAATAATACAGTGAGATGTCTCCTCCTCTTGTCCATTTCAACTGCTAAAGCATCTAACATCAGGCTTAGCAATGTTACTGTTTTCGAAAATGAGACATGAGTCACTCTTTGAAAAGGTGGTTTGAAGAGACACAATATAAGCTTTTATTTCTTCTGAGCAGTAGTTTAGTATTCACTGTTAAGATGTTATGATGTTTTCATGAGATTTATATAATTTCAGCAGTTTGAGTCCTTCAGTACAGAGAAAGAATAAGCCCATATAGAAAAAAGACAACTGATGACCTTCCCATGTTTTAATAAAAAGGTTGTAGCAACATGGCTGTCTTCTGAAGCAGACACAATGAAGACAGACAACATCCTTTTTGAATTTCTATCTGCCTACTGTTTATAAAAAGTCATTTTTTGCTATATCAGTATTTAATACTTAGATGTGAATCTAAAATATCTCCATAAAATACTTTATTTAACCTCTTTTGCCTTTTACTGACTGGCTTGGAATTTATTCTTCACTTGCAATCATTTAACTTGTTCAAGTGATTATGCAATTTGTAATTAATCCTTTGCACAATTCCTACTGAGGATGTCTTGTATGAAAGAGAAAAAAGATTTAACTTCTGTCTTTTAGATTTCTTTTCATAAGGGTATGGATTTCAGCCTGATCTGGCTTTAGTTGATTTCAGTGGAAGCTTTTGATTTTTTTTCTTGTCTTTTTTTTTTTTTTTTTTCTTTAACTGCTTTTAATTAACCTTTGAATCTGAATGGCTGAGGTTGCCAGGGAACTTTGGGTGTCATCTGATCCAACCACCTACTCAAGCAAGGCTACCAAGAGTCAGGTGTTATGGATCATGTCCAGGTGACTTTTCAGTATCTCCAAGGATGGCGATTGCACAACCTGACTGGGCAACCAGTGCTTGGTCACCCTCACAGGGAAAAAGCTTTTCCTAATATTCAGGAGGAACCTTCAGTGTGTGCCCATCACCTCTGATCCTGTCTCTGAGCACCTCTGGAAAGAGACTGGCTCCACCCTCTCTGCACTCTCTGCCTTTGGTTTCCTGGGTGCTCCTTCTTGTCATTCTTGAAGACAGGAGTGATGTTGCTTTCCTTCAGTCTTTGGGCATTTCTCCTAATCACCACAATCCTTCAAAGCCTTTTAAGTTTGGCCTTGCAATGACAAAAGTCAGCACTCATGGGTGCATCCCACCAGGGCCCATTGACTTAGATATGTCTGATTAGTTTAAGTATTCCTTGACCTGGCCCTGTTTCAAGAAGAGACAATCACTTCCCTGATTGTGCTGGCCTCATTGTCTCTGATACAGGCCAGGATGCCTTCAGAGAGGCACCCCAGCATACTGATTTCCCAGGAAGAATTTTGGGGATTTCTGTGTTATTGCGCCTTGTAGGTACTTCCTTGCATATCTACAGATGTTGGAGGTGGCCAGTTTTATTGATTTCTTATATTTTTTTGAAAATCATTCCATGTGACATCATTCCTGATGACTACTCCCTCACAGGGCTGCTGTTGATTCTCTCAGTCCTCTTTTATTCTTAGTCAGAAGCTCCTTAATAGTTCCACTGTTTTCCTGGCAAAGGTACCTCTGTTGTCCTTAGCTGGATTTCATCTCTCCCAAGCAGACACAGATCTGAAAACAGGGTCAGAGAACCCCAAACACCAACTCTGAGGCCAATTATTGATCTATACTAGCAGTGTCCTCCTCTTACACTTTTATCCCCCTCACTGGTGATTACCAGTGACCTTTTCACCTTGATTACTTACAGAATTATGCAGTCAGTTTTTATGCAGTCTGTGTTGCCTCCGGCAGTATCACTGATACCCACATGGAAGTATAACAAGGGATAGTAGCCATTGAGTTGGACAAGCTTCAGTAGTTGCTCTACAATACCCAGGATTTATACCTTTGCAAGGCAGCAAACATCTCTAGATGATGGGTCAGGGACACCAAGATCTATTTCCTGAATTGTGGTTTCTGTCTCTTGAGCTCATAGTCATATTAGCTTGGTTTGAAGTAGCTGTAAAGTTATAGATGTCAGGGAAAAAAAAACAATGAATGGTATGACCGTAAAAATCTTGAAGAGTGCAGAAAGTTGCTCGTTAAATTCAGACTACATACATAAGAAAAAACTCATAGGAATGTGTGGAATTCAATGAATTACTACTTTTTAATCAAATCTTGTTTTCATGGTTGGAATGTCCAAAGGGTTTATCAGTATTAAGGCCATTCATAGTTAACTGGCGAATTTATAAAGTAGGCACTCACATTTTCTTCAGAACATTGTATTGCAGAGAAAAAAGTATAGTTCTTCAAACTCAGGTTTTAGAAAATGATGTATTTAGAAAATATGAAATAATAAAATATCTATATTATAGATTATATAAAATATGTATGCTTTATTATTCATCTAATATATAAATCAGCCTAATAGTGTATTTAGAATATATGCTATTAGGTTAGCCAACTTCAGCACAACCTTAATTGGGCCGTTCAAGCTGACAGTACAGAATGAACAGATCTTCGAGTACTGCACCTGTGTTTTCCACTAATCAATATTGTCCGAAGTTTGAAGCAATCCTGGGGGACCAGTGGTGTGACAAGACCATCTCATACAGGCCATATAGATGACTGGTGTACATGGAATCCCTCACAGGTTTTAGGTGTCTAGTGCACGCTGCAGGCCCAGCTGAGGCTCTGCTAGATGTAGGGTTGCTGAGTTGTATTCCCTTCTTACATTACTTAATTTCCTTTATACCTTAAGCTAAATGCCTGTGGTGGATTGACCTTTTCGGGCTGTCAGATTCCAACCCATCCAAAGTTAACCCACTGCTCTTCCTTAAAGTACCAGAATCTGTGTCTTGATGATTAAGAGATAAGGAATGGTATGGCCAAAACTTGGATTGAACATTGCCAGAGTGAAACAACTGTGGGAATTCTTTTGTTGTTCTTATGAAGTGAAAGGGCAAGGAGTGGAGATTTACCTTATATGTGTGTGTGTGTAAAAAAATTCCCTTTCTCAGAATTTTTATGTCACTTTGATTTTAGTATGGGAAATGTTGGGGATTTTTTGTTAATGTAGATGAAGTTTGTGAAGACTATATGATTTATATATATATTTTTATTGACTGTTCTTAAGCAAGTATTTCACAGAGATGAGGCTGGAATGCTCTGGGTGGAGATGTCCAGGTGTTGGCAGTGAGGGTCTCCAGTATCTGTGAGGAGAGGCCAGTCCTGCCCTGTGCCAGACACCACCACAGCATACAGTCTCCATCAGCAAAGCACCTCTGGCAGAATGGGTTTTAAGAAAGGGTAAAATGCTGCCTGACAGTCTAAAGGCAAAAAACGGGGGACAAACCATCCTGTGAACACCATGGTCCTTGGTGAAGGAAGCAGAGAAGGCATTCTAGTCACTGGAGCAGGCTGGGAAGACCATAGTGGAGAAGGAGTTTCCCTGAAACCTGATCTTGCCAGAGTAGGTGGATATTTTCAGGAGAAACTGAAGCCTGTGGGGGAATTCACACTGGAGGAGTTCCTGATTTGCTGTGTCTTGTGGCTCTCATGCTGGAGAAGGCAAAACATGTGAGAAGGAGAGAACAACAGAGAGAAAACATTATGGACTTACCTCTCACTATCCAACTCTATTTTAAAAGGCAACAGATTAATTTAATGTTCCCAAAGTCAGGTCTGTTTTTCCTGTAACGAAAATTGGTAAGTGACCTCCCTGTTTTTATCTTCATCCATCATATTTTATATTTCTCCCCATGTTCTGTTGATGAGGAAAAATGAGAGATCAACTGGGTGGAGGCCAAAGTCAGCTATTGCAAGGCCTTAATTTCTTTAGTCAGATATTTGTTTCAGATGTCTGTAGTTTTTTTAAGTTTTCCTAACAGGACAGAAAGCACATTACCACTAGGAAGGTTTAACTCTTGTGGTGTTGAAGTAGTGAATGACTGCTATGGGAGTCCTTTTTTTGTGTAGATGAACTGGTTTTTGTAGAAAGTTTGTCAGGTGTACAGTTGTATTCTAACATGGGTTTGGAACTGATTAAAGTTTAGTTATTAAACTAGAGCGTCAGGAATTGATTGTCTGATGTCAATTCATGTTTGTATGTTGTCTTCTTTCTTAAAAGCAAACCAGAGACTTAAAAAAAATTGTTTTCCTGGATCTCATATTAGTAGATTCTCTTTGAAGCTATATGGTGTTCCCTAAGTTTCATAGGAGCTTGTTACAGTAATTCTAGAGCTGCTTTATTTATCTGTAACATTTTTATTTGCATGGACAAGTGAAATATATCCTTCCTTGTACAATTAGTGTACTGGGGAACAGGAAATGTACAAGAAGCTTTGTTGTAGCAATTGGCTGTAGTTATCAACATTTTTGTTGATGGCTTCTTTCAGTTTCTTTTTGTGATTTTGATGTTTGCCTCTGTCTCTCTCATGGTGTCATTCCTTCTTGCTCAGTTTATTTCCTTTGTTTACTGCATTCCCATGTTTACTGTACATGGTGGTATTCTGTGTAATCCTCTTCATACTCCCTTTCCCAATACCATTGTGAGCTGCTGCCATAATTTTTGTGACTTAAGGCACTTAATCCTACTGTTTATCTAATCAATGTCAGTTTTCTCAGAACAGAGCCTTCCAAATGCTCCCCTCCTGGCAGCTGTGTCTTGGGTGTCCTAGTGTGATTTGAAACTTGCTCTCATTTGTCAGTTTTCTATTCATTTGGCACATCATCCCTCCCTCTGTAATGAACAAGCTGTTCCATTTTAGGTGAAAACAGCTTTGTTTTTTAATAGCAGAACTGTTTCTGTGAATTCATGTTTTATATTCCTTTAATTTTTCTTTTTTAGATGCTGGATGTCTATGACATTCTTCCTTTTGATAATCCAGATGGTGGCGTTTGGAAACAAGGATTTGATATCACATACAATGAAAATGAATGGGACAGTGAACCACTTCAAGTTTTTGTTGTGCCTCACTCACATAATGATCCAGGTATTATATTAACTGAATTGATTTGAGGATCTAGAGACTTTTGAATTAGGAAATGCATTGCCATTTCTGTTAAGATTTGGGTTTTTTTGAAGCATACCAGTTAATACGTTAGACTTAAGTCTAGCAAGGCAGTGAAACAGTTGTATGATTTAAGTGTCATTGACTTCCAGTGACAACTGCTATGATACAAGTTGTGTGTCTACTGAATTTATTAACTGTAGCAGAACTTCATTGTTGATACTGAAAAGTGTGAATTTCTGGTAGCACATTCATTGCTGCATTAAATACCATCAATTCTTATTTTGATTTTTTGGACTGTCATAGATATTTAATCCTCAACTGTGCTAAAGAAATGTGCTTTTAGAAGATGTGACAATGGCAAATCTGAAATTTTTGACACTTTCTTCACTTTTTTTTGTGCACACCCTCAACCTATAGTGGGATAGTGAGAAGGCTGGATTTAAACAGAAATCTAGGTATATCTACATAATTTCATTTCCACCCTAGTGGGTTTACAGTAAACAAAATGGAGAAGTGTTCGTTTATTTTGGAATGACTTCTTGGTAAAATTTACCAAGAAGTGAATTATACTTCTACACTGTGGTCCTGATACATGTATACTGACGGTGAGTGCTGGTTGTTGTCATAGAAAGCCACAAGTTAAGTGATATTAAATTTTACTACTGTATATCTCTCTAAACTTTAATTTGTTGTATAAAGTACTGTGGATCTGAGTGAAGGTTTAAACATAAATGGCTTTTATTTGCACATATATAGCTTTTTCAAAGAAAATGAATGCTGGAATGTGGAATTACTATATTACTGTCCAGTTGTGACAGGTAAATTTATGTAGTATGGATATGGTAGAAATATTCAGAACAAATAATCACAGTATAGACCTAGATCTGCCTATTTGTTGAACTATCTTTGAACCTGCGTCCGTTTATTTCCTCTCTGGTTGTAGTTCTCCTAAAGACTTCCCTTGAAAGAAGCAGCTCTGGGACGTAATGAATCAAAGCAATCCTAAAGCAATATACAGAACTTCTCATTCTCTTGGGTCTACTAGAATGGGCTGTGGAGTTTATCTGTCTCCCTTTTTTCTGCTGAAGCTGTTGGGATCACATCCTAACTGGTACAGGGCTGTTGGCAGTCCCCTAGAGGCCAGTGGCCTGGTGTCACATCTGCCCTCCTGGAATGTCTGTACCTGAATTGAACAAACACCTTGTGCACAGTGTACGCTGAGGTAACTTTCAGGCACATGAGGTTTAGGAGCTGCAGGGAAATCTCCTGAGGTAACCTGTGAAGAGATTTGGTAATAACTTCACCAGTGTCTATTCAAGTAATGAATAGCAGGTTCTAGTGATTTCAATATACGTGAAAGATATTTACCAAGAAATGGGGTCAATAAAGGCATAACTATATTAGCTGCAGAAGCTTCAAATTCTCATTAGATTTTATGTTTTCTCATCTGAAGCTACTTCCTCTTTAACTTTTCATATAACCAGTTATGCTAGTGAGAATTTGTAGCTCAAAGGCAAAGAAAGGGCCTTGAAATAACTTTGTCTAGGGGGTGGCATCCCTGCCCATAGTTTGGGGCTAGAAATTGCATGGTCCTTTCCAGTCCAAGTCAGTCTGTGAATCTGTGAAACACAATCAGTAGGGAAGGTGGTGGGTTTAAGTTCCACCTTCTTTTTTGGAGGATGACTGAATGTGCCAGTGCTCTGAAACACTTAGTGATGCTAAATCTGGGTTAACTGCTTCTGTGTGAATTTAACCATGACCTGCAAACTTGGGATCTTTGTGCTTCTCTCTGCAGTAGCTAAAGCTTTTCCCTTTTGGGAAATGGATTGAGAGTGGGTCTCCGTCAGACTTTTGATCAGTGGTGGCACAATTGCTTTAGTTGCTGACAGTTGATAAATATTTGAGCACCTCAGTAGCATGTCTTAAACCATGGAGAGAAGTTTGGTTGTTGTGTGAGATTATAGCTATCACAAATAGGTGGCAGTTCTGTCAGGAGCAGATTAAGGAGCAAGCATATAACCTACTGTGCTGGCAGAGCTCTTATGTTGGCTCTCACCTGCTTCATATGTGGTGTTTTGTGGCTGCCTGAAGGGAGGAGGCAGCTGAAATGCAAAGGGGAGAACTTAGATCAGGGCTGGCAAGATTGTCAGCCAGCACAGATGGACTTGAAAGACGAATTTTGTATATGACTGGAGGGAGGGAAAGACACCTCTAGCATCTATTGATCTGTAGTAATTTTGGTAATGACTGCTCATTAAATTATTTAAGAATTGAGACTTGTGAGCTTTCTAAAATACGTGTGTACCAGTATCTCACTGCTGAATATGGTGATTACAGACCTAGTATAAGTGGCTCTTAAGAGGAATTGAAAGTGACTGAAGTTGATTTTTCTCTTGCTTCTCAACCCACATGCAAGTGTATGGGCACAAAGGTCAGAACTAAACACTCCTTTTTAACACTTTATCAATTATCTATGGCATTGGTAATTTTGCCGTACTACCACTCACATTAATCACCTTTTATTATTTAAGACAGTCTCCATTTCTCAGGAGGAAATCTATATAGAACTAAGTCAGTGTTAGGATATAAGAAAACTTAACCATAAAATTTAGTGCTGTTAATACATCATGGAGTTTCATGTACATTTTCTGTTGACCGGGTCTGGATATGTTTTTCTGGTGACTTCTTCACCAGAACAGAGATTGCTTAAACTGTTGTCTGACTCACCAAGATACAAGAAATGGGCAGCTCACAAGTTTTTCTTGATAAGCTGAATGAGGGAAATTAGAGCTTTATTCTGGCTTATTTTTCAGTATTTCTGTGTTTGCAGAAGAGGTGCAGTTCCTTTGGAAATCAACAGGACTGTTACAGAAAGGACACTTTTGACTGCTCGTCAGTAGAAATTTCCTTTCCATCTTAGCTATGATGAGCAGCAGATTTGATATGTACAAAGGCAAAAATAGATCTTGCATAGGACTTAAAATGTAAGAAGTCTAATTATAGTTTTGGTAGTACCTCATAGATCATGGCGGATTTTACTTTTTGTGAAATGTGCAATCATTCGAGTTTTTAGTTTTGCTTATGAAATTAAGCCTGATAAGTCAAGTCATTCTTGTTTTACCTTGAGCAGAGATCTTTTAGAAGTTAGGGTATGCTGTTGGAAAAATAAATAAACACTGTCTTACTTTTTTAATTTCAGTGTACTTTCATCTGCCTAAATTTCTTTATTTTGGTACATATTTTGCAGGAACAAGAAGCTCACCTGTCTAATTCCTTTTGAATCAGAATGAATGCTCTAACACAAGAATGTTTCAGGGGACTTTCTTTCTCTGATTTGACTATGTGAAATAGAAAAATGAGAAGCAATCTTATACAGCTTTTAGTTTTAATTTGAGATTGCCTTGCCATTGGTTTTTTCAAGTTTTATTTCACAGTCTTGGCTGTGAGTCATTCATCGTTGTTGAAAAGATACTTTTTTGTGAAATTAGCACTGAAGTGTTATGTCAGAAACATCCATGAAATATTAACTTGTATGTCAGTTCTGTATTTTACATCACGGAATGATGCAGTACTTCTAAATTAAACAAAAAAAAATTATGTGTGTATTGTCTACTTTAAAATAAGGGACTTTTTAAAGTGCTGAATCTATAAAGGAACTAATGCCAAATTATTTTCATGGGTAATCGTAGTTACTAAAATGTAAGTTAAAACTTAGCTTTCAGATTTATTTCTGGTATTTGCCTTATTGTTATTGCCTTAGTGTGTTCAATTAAACACACATGCACACCATGCTTAAGTTCTTTAGAGCTCTTCTTTTAGAGGTAAGAAGTCATGGCTACATGTGCTTTTGTTTGTTTCGGCTTCTGCTTGCTTGTTTGTATTTTTTTATGAAAACCTTTTACTGTTGCATTTTGTGGAGCTTGAATGTAATTAAGAACAAGGATATTCTCACAGTTTATGACACCTTTTTTTTACTTCTTCAGCTATCAAAATAGTCACTTAACTGTGTCATCTCACAGGAGGTTGTTAGTTGAGAATCAAGCATAAATGTAAGAAAAGAAGAAAAAAAAATTACTGATAATTTTTACTAACTTGGCTGTACATTTTAAAGACCAAGAAGTGACGTTCCACTAATATATTTGTGAAGAGAATGCTTTTATTTTCTGGGAAGCTGTATAGTGCTTGCTGAAATTTATTGGTTTTATTTAATACTGACATAAAATAAATAAATTGCTCAAGTTTCTTGTGTTGCGGGAAGTGTCGCTGATGGGTGAATTTTAGAATCAGTGAAATTAATCATAATCTTCTGAAAAGTAAATCAGAGATGCAAACTTCTATCAAAAATGCATTAGTCTAATATATACTGGCAAAATATTTCAGAAATTCATGAGATGATCTGCCTCTTACTAAAACAGACTTCATCAGAAACAAGAAATTTTTAAAGGCACATTTCCTCTTAAACATTGGAGGGTGACTAGTGGAAGTAAGCAACTGAAAAGCCTATTTTGTTTTATTTCAACAGTTATTTTAAACCAAAAGACAAAAATGCAAATGTAAAAAACCACCCCAGGAGTCTTGCAGGTATATGTAAGCAGTACCTAAATACTTTTGCAAGAAATGGATTTGTGATCCTTGTCATGATCAAATCGTTAAGTGCTCTTGCTTAATAAAGTTACTTTTTGAATAACGCTAATTGGTCAACTTCTGTTCTGATTTTATCCAGAAAGTTTCCCTGTATCTCTACATCCGTGTTAACCATGCTGAGACACAAGACTACCTTTCTCTAGTGCAAGGAGCTGATAGAGCTTCAAGAAAGAATTTGAACTTGAAAGTGTAGATGGGAATAGTGGCAAATCAGTTAATAAAATGTTTCAGGATTTTTTGCAGAGCAATGAGTTGTGTTGATATTCAGATATGAGTCTTGGAGTCTGCTGTCAAACCAAGTAAATTTACACTACAGTGTGGGAAAAAATTGATTAAACAAACAGCTGCATAACGATGATAAATCTCATGGAGATGGGGGGATACAGCAAGTTTCCACACTTTTGAGGACAAGTGTGAGAGAGAGAATCAAAAGGCAAGCAGCTCAGCAGTGTGTACCCTCTGTTATCACATAGGCTGGTAGAAAATGAAAGTATCTGGCAAAGTCCTCAATATGTATTAAGTCAAGCTGAGCATAATAATATGAAAGACAATACTATTTTTTCTCTTGTTTACAGGGTTGTTACACATTGGAATGGTGGAGTCACCATCCCTAGAGGTGTTAAAAGAAAAACTGCATGTGGCACTCAGTGTCATGGTATGATTTATAATGTGGTGGTTAGTCAGAGGTTGGACTTGATAATTTCAGATGTCTTTACAACCTCAGTGATTCTGTGATCTTGTGATTTTTATGTTGACAAAGGACTTTATGTACATTTAAACCACCAAGCATTATTTTGCTGTTAATAGCATATTTAGTCTTGGTAGTTGCAGCTTTAAACTATTGCAATTTTTCCATGTGTAAACTGTCTTTGTATTGAAAGTTTCCTGTTCAGAATGCACTGGTAAACCTTTTCTTTCAGGCTAGGAACAAATTCTTAGTTTGTGGATAAGCACAAAATGAACTTGAGTTGAAGATTCTTATGTTGTATTAGGGACTGAGATGTGAAATAATACTATAGCTAGCAACTGTACATTGATTTATCCATTATTTTGTTTAGCTTTTGATTTTCTTTTTAAGTATTTTAATTTTTATTTTATGTCTCTGTGCAAAATTGAAGAGTCTCTGTAAGTCATGGGGTTTAGAGCAGCACACTTTAGGAAGGATGTGAAGGCACTGGGATGCACCCAGAGGAGGCCAGTGGAGCTGGTAGAAGGGCTGTCCAGTGAGGAGCAGCTGAGGAGCTGGAGTTTGTCCGTTTTGGAGAAAAGGAGGCTGGGGGGTGACCTCACTGCTTTCTGCAGCTTCCTGGGGATGTTGTTCCAGAGGCAGCTGGATAATGCTCTTAACAACATGTTTTTTTTTTTGGTCAACCCAGAAGTGGTCAGGCTGTTGGACTAGATGATCATTTTAGGCACTTTTCTACGGAGAATGTTTTGTTCAATTAATAAATAACTAGATGTACTGTAACTGTGTTTCAGAGGGCTTTCAGTTGGCTTTCAGCTAAATCTATGAATACCTGTAAAAATTTCCTAGTACTCTCTGGACTGTATTCAGTTGAGTGTGTTAACCATGTTACAATCTTCTTAGCTTAATAAACTGAGTGTGTTAAAAGAAAACAGTAATTTCATTATAACACTGTTCTTCCTACATCATACTGTATTCTTTTGTCAGCTACTTTGACATTTAAATCAGTGTTTCAGTTAGGCCGGTGTATTAATGTTTTTAGAATTTTCAGAAGAGTAATTTAATGTAAATTTGCTTTTATTGCTGCAATATAAAAATATTTTAAAATTGTTTATTATGATAATATTTTTATGTACAGGAAAGTCATAGCATGGTTTTAATTTCTTCTCCTTTAGTTGTGTGGTAGGATGATACTTCCTCTTGCAGAAGAAATTTCTAGTATAAAGCTATAAAGTGGTAACTTAATAAATGTGGATATTTTTAATGTAATTATCAGTAAAATATTCCCTTAATTTGTTGAAAAGTAAATGAGAATTGAGAAAGAATAATTTGCTATGTGATCTCAGTTCTTTGAGTGGAAGCATCTATTAAAAAAAACCAACCCAGACTGAAGTGGGAAGAGGTCAGAAAGAAATCTGATTACAAATTCAGATTATTTATCACATTTTTTTTTTCAGCCTTTAAACTATTGCGTAGCAGTAATTTACTGTCAACTGGGTTTTTTTTTTTTGTATTAAGCTGTTTCCATTCCTCTAAAGAAAGTATGTTTTAATTTTATGCTTTAAGCCCTCATATTAACTACCTTGACAAAATGCATTTTCCCCCTTGAAGACAGATTATATCCCACTTGTCTGTCTGTACAGAAACTTGTATCAAAGGTGATGAGTCCTCTAGATGCTAAACATCTGTAAAAAAAAAAACTTTTTAGAATTTTAGAACTTTTCCTCTGGAATGTTACTGTTTTATTTCTTCTTTTGCAAATTAAAGGCAGCATTTCTAAGAAGAATGTTTGGGTTTTTGTATCCCTAAAAGAAAGTATAATATATCCTTTCCGAGTCAATAGTCAGACTTTATTTAATTAAAAAGTTCTTTTAAACTGAATTTGAGAATTATTTTTTTAGTAGTAAAAGTTTCTGCACTTATGTAACTACCTTGAAACAATATAATGTTATTGCCTAATCCTGTATCCTATAAGTAGATTGGCCCTATCAGAAAGACAGTGGCTCTGCAGAACTGAGTTGGTAAATCTGAGTGGAATTACTAGTGTAATATTTGTCTGGAGTGCTGTCTTCACATAGTGTGGAAGCTTTCACAAAATCTTAAAATGGGGATATGTGACAAAAGCTGGTAGGAATAGGAATGTGACATTTTAGAGTAAGTTGTAAGTAACAGACTTAATTTTTTCTGCTACAGTTACAGAAGAAAGATGCATATGCTCTCTAATACAAGATATTATGAAGAGGTTAAAAAATTTAATGTAAAACCATAAAGTCTGAAAATGTGGTTAAAATTTCTTTTTCCTTTGCATCTCACTGAAGCATATTTTTTTGAGTCCATGTATGCTGTTGATGAAATTTCCTAATATGCAAAGCATAGAAAAACTAGAAAGTGAAAAGTCTAATAATTTCCATATGTTTATACATTTAGGAAATAAAATGTGTAATATTTGTAAAAACGAACTCCTTGGAAATTTAGCACTTCAAGCTGTCCATGACATGTAAAACATTTTAAGAACAAAAAAAAAGCTTTTTTCTAGCTTTTTCTGGGGAGTGAGAAGGAGCCGGTTCTCTCAGGGACTGTTCTCTAAAGAGACTAAGAAGCCAGTTCTCTAAAAAGGCTTCATTTATATTTTCTTTTTCCTAGGTTGGCTGAAGACTTTTGATGATTACTTCAGAGATCAGACACAGCATATTTTAAATAACATGGTTATAAAACTGCAAGAAGACAACCGAAGGAAATTTATATGGTCTGAAATTTCCTACTTTTCAAAATGGTGGGACGGAATAGATAGCCAAAAAAAAGATGCTGTTAAAAGGTTTGAGTACTGAACTTTTCTTCTGTGTATCTTGTTTTGAGATTTTGTGTATTTGACTACACTGTAAACTTGAGATTTCACTTGTGATGAGGAAAAACCAACTAACTGCTTCAGTTCTGACTTCTTGGGCTTGGTTGGGTTTTCTCCCATTTGCAAAATGGGAATCTGCTCAGGGAAGTGAAGACAAATTACTGAGTTGCCTAAAAATTTGACTAAAAGTTCCCATGTACAACCATGAACATGCATTGAAATTGTAAGGGAGTAGAAAATATAATCTTTATTTGAAATCGCATTCAGGAATTTGCAATAATATAAATACATCTTTTACACTAGCTATTTCTACATGGTATTTTTTTCCTTGTTATAACACTTATGAAGATTTTGTGTGATTCTTATTTGAATTAAAATTTGTGAGTTTCTTTTGTGTTTAAGTACAAAGGGTTTTTATAAACATGCATCTGCTTTAATGGTAAAGTGGTACGTACTCTACACCCTTGCTCTTCTTAGTCATTTTTGAAATCACAAGTCAAAATGGAACATAAAAGTAAAATGCCTAGTTTGCCTAGGCGTTGAGACAAGAAGCAGACTGCTTGGATAAACTTGTAGTATGGATCTAGTTTGGAGTTTTCAAAAACTGGAGACTTTTTTTTCTTATTTTTACTTGACAGTTCTTAGCTCATCCTTGTGACAGCCTCCTTCTTATGCCCCTCTTTGAGATGCATGTGTTGCAGTATGCATTTAAATCCGTGAGCCCTTCACAGGCTCAAAGGTTAGGTAAAGGTGGAAATTTCAGGATCTAAGCAAAAAAGCTACTTATAAAAAAATTTCTGTGCAGTGGGTGAGTATTATAGCACAGCTGTGTGTTTATTTGACATAAAAATATCTCTTGGAACACAGTAAACAGTAAATGACAGTCACTAGAGAACTACGTCCTCTCTTCAGATGAGTCAGGTGTTGGTTAAGCTGCACCTGAGACTGGAGAAGACTTGGAGAAGCTGCGCTTAAGATTATTTTTGTTGTATGATTTTCATTACTCCTATGGGTACCATCTGTGATGGGGCTAAGTTTTTATGAGTTCACTGTGGGTTTTTCTCTTGAATTCGTTAAACAATTCCACGCTGGTGAACAGTGTAAGTGCTGAAACTGTAGGGGCAACCTCGTGCTGGGAGTGTGATCTTTATGTTCATTGACAATGGAGAGACTGGGTTGTCCTGTGGCCTGTTTCTAGAAGGCATTTTAATGAGCGGGATGTTCTGAAACGTTATACAATAAACTTCCAAGATCTATCAGCTCTCTAAAAAGAATATTAGATCAAAGGTGGGAGATATTAGGGGAGATACTTCAAGCAGTGCTTGAAGTGTGCAGTGTCTAAGCAGCTCAGTTGGCCTTCAGTGCTGTGTTACATTTATTTTATTTTTGTAGTCTGTGCAGGAAACAGCTTTCTTCCTGATTTTTAAAAAATCTAATATAGCACGTGCACTAGAACTGGTTTTCTTTGCACATGGATGTGAAATACTTCTGTGTTCAGCAGTTCATTTTTTCTCTGTTTGATTAAAGAAATATAGCCCAGTGATGGAAATAGCAAAAACAATTTAGATTTTGGAGTCATGTTGCTGATGATTGCCTGTTGAGTATACAGAAATTGATTTTAAGAATGTGTTTTCATATGGAAGATTCTGAATATGATTTATGTGTTTTTCAGGTTAATAAAAGATGGACAATTTGAAATTGTAACAGGAGGATGGGTCATGCCTGATGAAGCTTCTTCTCATTATTTTGCTTTAATTGACCAGCTGATAGAAGGACACCAGTGGCTAGAAAAGAACCTTGGTATGTACATGAATCTAAAATTTAACTATGTTAATACAAGAAGTCAGTAAGAAAATACTTTTTTGTTAAATTTCTGAGGTGTTTAGAAGGCTCTTTTTTCTCAGCTTTCCTGCAGCATTAAATCAGACCACTTACAGGAAGCTGTTGGATCATGTCTGGTATTTGCTATTCATGTTTGCAGATAAAAGTTCCTGGACAAAGTGTATTTGACCAATTTTATGCCACAGCATTTTGTCTTGATCAATGTAAGGCCTGCATATAGTATTGTCATAATCAAATACTAACACTAAATAATACTAAATTTTAGATCCCTTGTCTGGTCTAAACAGCCCGTCTGCCTTTTCTGTCTTTTGAATATCATGACAAAATTCTTAAAACTACTTAAAAATTGATACTGCTTTTATGTGTTTCCATCTATTCTGCCTGCTCTGTGTTCATTATGTGTTCATTAGATTCTCTTCTGTAAGGCTTTAAAAAAAAATTATATGTAGCAGTAGTAGTAGTAGTTATAAAGCCTAACCCATAGTAATGTTAGGATTGAGGAATTACTGACTGCAGTTACATTGGCTGAACTGTTTTGTTGCCTTTGGGATGTTCTTTTGTTTAGTTCCACAAGAGGAGAGAAATCTTTTTGTATAGAAAATATTTATACAGTGATTTTAATAATAAATTGTCATTATTTCACCCAATTAACCGAAATTATTTTGGAAAGCTGTTCCACTGTTGTTCTTAGATTGCAATTTCCATAAGCACAGCTTGACATAATTGGAGGGGGAAGGGAAGACCTAATGAAAGGGTAATGCATTCCTTACTGTGTTTTTTTTCTTGGAAAGACAGTAAGAAGTGCCAAAGGCAACATGTTGATGAATTAGCAAGAGTTAGATGCAGCTTATTTGCTAGCACGAAGTTTAGTGAAAAGAGAGTATTAATAAACAGGATTCTATTGATCAACAAACTAATAAATGAAAAAAAAATAGTTCTGAAGCCAAAAAAGATTAACGTTATTTAAATAACAGTGAAATTTCAACAAGCTGTTGCATTTATCTATCCACATCCATTCATTTTCTTTCAACTTTCTTTTTTAATTGTAATATCTATAAACTACTTTAAGTGAAAGAGGATGTGTATGAATTAATGATTCCAAATAAAGATGTTTGATGCAAATTTGAAGCAGTGTAGCAATGAGTACTATTTTAAAGTTTTAAATTTATTTTAGAATGCCTTATAAGAGATTTTGTTTGTTTAACTGTTTACTTCTAGTTTTTTAATTCTAGGGTTCTGCAGGAGGTTTAACACTTAACTGGGTATATAATCTTGGAAATGTTATCTTTAGTACTCCCATTTAAATTATTGGAATAACTTTTTTTGAGTGAAAAGTAAAGCTTTTACTTTTGTCAACAGGAGTAAAACCAAAGTCTGGATGGGCAATTGATCCATTTGGGCATTCACCAACAATGGCCTACCTTCTGAAGCGCGCAGGATTTTCCAAAATGCTTATACAGAGGATTCATTATTCCGTTAAAAAACATTTTGCAACACAAAAGACACTAGAATTTTTTTGGAGACAGAACTGGGGTATGTGTTCTTCCTTTTTGTCAATTTATTTTGTTAATTTACACAGGTAAAATATGAAGAGAATATGAAGCTTGAATAAGTACTGTGGAAATATTTGCAGACATAAATATTTAGAGATTTAGCAGAGTTTGTCTAGACCTGAAAATTTTAAACTTGCAATTCTGTTTAAAAAAAGGCATTTCATCTAGCTTAAATTTATGAGATTTTTTTTATTTTTCCCCCCTCTTTGAATAACAGAAGGGGAAATGAGAATATTTGTGAGTTAGAAAAGGCACTAAATGTAAAACTGATATAATTGCCATTGTTCCTTTCTTTTCACTTTTATTTTTCCTTTTACCTTCTCTTGTTTTTTCCATTCTCTCATATTCCTTGCAAAAGTAAAAGAAGTGAAAAATTCTTTTACTTGTTTTTACTTTTCTTCTTCCTCCTACTCCTTTATTTTCTACTATGTGAAAATGAAGTGTAGGAGGAGAAACATTTCAACTTATTTAAATATTGTGCTAAGGAGGCAATGACAGGAGGGTGATTGGCTTTTGGTTTGGTTTTTTCTTTGTTTTGTTTTGATAATTGTTTTTTTTAGAGTTGTTTTAATCCACTCAAAGTTTAAAAGATGTTTATTATTATAATCTAAAATTCTGAAAATCACAAGTTTTATCTGGGTAAAACACACCTAGCATTTGTTCCTGTGTTTCCTAATCAACTGGTGCTTCACTAAAACATTCCAATCTTGGTTGTATCTCTGTTTTACCTCTTTATATATATAAGGTACATACAAAAATAGACTCAAGCTGTGGATATTCAAAATAAGAAATTGTCTTGGTATGGTGTCTTTCCAGTACAATCCTTGGACTGAGAACATGGGAGTGATTTACTTTTGGCAAATCTGAAAGGGTTTATTTTAAAGTTTTACTCTATTTAATTCCAGATTTGGGATCCAGTACAGATATTCTTTGTCATATGATGCCTTTCTATAGCTATGATGTTCCTCATACTTGTGGCCCGGATCCAAAAATCTGCTGCCAGTTTGATTTCAGGCGACTTCCTGGAGGAAGAATAAGTTGCCCTTGGAGAGTTCCACCAGAAGCCATTCATGCTGGAAATGTTCAACACAGGTACAGTTTTTACATACTCCTCAAGGGAATAACCTTAAAAAAATGTAATTATGCTGGCCAGATGACATCTGGTATAGCTTGGTGAACTTAGTTCTGTTGTGGTTCAACCCCAGTGAGCAGCTCAGCTCCACTATGCTCCACTGCTGCCCTGGTGGTGCAGGGAAGAGAATCAGAAGAGTAAAATGAGAAAACTCATGGGCTGAGATGCAGGAGAGGCCATGGCTCTGTGCAAGCCCTGCTCAGAAATAACAAAATCATCTCTCTGTTGCCAACCCTGTCATCAGGGCATATCCAGATCACAGCACCATACTGACCACTGTGACTTTACCCCAGCCAAAACCAGTACAAGCTTTTAAAATAAGTTTGTCATGGGTAAACAATAACTATTACATAACCTGGTGTTTGCTTTTTAGTTGGGAACGTAACTGTCAGTGAAATTAGAGGAAAAGTTATACTTAAGGAAGGGGCAGTTTTAAAAATTTTCTGTTCATGACACATGAGTCCATCTCTAAACGGCAGTCAGAGCACAGTCATCTGATTGGACTTGTGTTACTGGTTTACTGTGTTTTTTGTGAGTTTTATGAACAGTGATCTGTCCCCCGCAAGTGGAACACTTCAGGGGCAGCACGATGTAGTGTGCTGTAACTACAAATAGTGGGATATTTCCTGTGGTATATCCTTGAAAAGCTTGGCATCCTGTGGCCTAAGTTTCCTGAAGTGTAAACCTTAAGTTAATCTGATTCCTGTTTTTTTTGCACCCATTGTGAAAATTCTTGTACCCAGGGTGGAAATTCCTATTAACCTCAGTTTTACTTTTCAAACAGAAACACTGAGTTGTTTTGCCACAGTTAAGAATCAAATTTACACTTCTACAAAACTGTTTCTCAATTTTGGGTGATGGGGTGGGGGGTGGAGGTAGGGAGTTGGGGAAGGAGAGTAAAGGAAGGAAAAAACCAAAAGAAATGGAAGTGAGTTAATCTGCCAAAGGTGTTTCCGGAAAATAATTGTATTCTGTGGCCCTATTGCTATCTTCACATTACATCAGGTTTCCAGAGGTAAAAAGTTGAGGCAGCTGTTTATAATTAGTGCAAACTGCTGAGTGTAACAGCTGTATTAAGGAGAGCAGGGTGACTTTTTGGTCCTTGGTGCTGAAGTTTTAAAGTGATGATGTGATTATGTTGCACTGCTTGTCTACATGTCAAGTATGGATCACTTTTTTTCTGAGTATAAATTCTGACAAGCATAATGAAAACTTCACTCAACCAAATTCAGTTACAAAATATTGCTGAAGATAAAACCAAAATTAAACAGAATACCTTACAACTGCTGTATTTAAAGGTAGAAATTGAAATGATGACAGGAAAAAGGGGGTTTTGATAAAGTAGAGAAAAAAAAGATGATGGTCGCAGGAGAAAAGTAGAAAAGTGTGACATAGCCAGTGCCTATTGCATGTGAAGGACAATTCATATGTCATTAAATCAAAATAAATATGTCATTAAATCAAAATAAATATGTCATTAAATAAAAATAAATAATGTCATTACATCAAAAACTAAAATCAAAATAAATAATGTAATTAAATAAAAAAAGTCTTGACTATATATCTCAATTAGTTGAGACAAATATTTGCAGAAGAGCAACAGCTTGTATAAAAAATACGTGAAACATAGAGGCTATAAATATAATTTAGAGTGTCTGCTTGAAATAATCTTTTCAAGGGTCTTGGTTTTTGATTATTCTTAATCCCTGCACTTCATTGATGCAACCTTTGCATAACAATCTAAATTAGATTTTGTAAAAGAAAGGGGTTTTCACGTGTCAAAGGATATTTAAGAATAAGATAAATGTGGCAGAGATGTAGTGAACACATGATCAAGTTGAAGTGATTATTGTCTCAATATGGTCTCTGAAACTTAATATTTTGCATCAGTTTTTTTTTAGATAAAAGCAGTTTTGGTGTCAAGCAGGGAGTTGAAACATCAGTATGCTGTATGATACCTATGGGAAAAGTAAAACTAACACGTGGTCTTTCAGTTGGAGGCCTGGATTATTTACATTTGGAACACTTGAACCACACTTTTAGTGTCCAGTTTCAAATAAACCCACTAAAACACAGGAGGTAATGTTTTGATGGAGAATGCTAAAACATGCTATGTGTGTTTTTTGAAAAAGCTGGAATACTGTAGACAAACAAACATGTTATTGATCTGACCTCTCTGTAATAACATGTTTCACAGTTGTTATGATGAGGAGATGTATGAGTTCCAGAATTGAAAAGTCTATCTTTACATCATAATTTTCCAAGGTTATAGGTTTGCAGCACTCTAATTAATCTGCCTCTTATCTCTGATTGCTTTAAGACTAGAAAAATACAGGACAATAATGGGTTGGAAAAAAGTTGATTAATTTAGAGACCACGTTTAGATCACTGACCTTCTTTCATGCCAAAACTAAAACAAAAGCAATAAAACCCAGATCTTGAATACTCAGCTGGGGCTGTTGCTTTTGATTTCAATACTACTTTTGGCCTTACATATATATTAAAGAGATGCTGCATTGAAAACTTCAGCCTAGTAGTTGGATTTTTCATTGCCTTGCCACTTAGGTTGTGACCTGGTAAGAAGGAATGAAGCAGCAATCTACTTGAAAACCTGTATTTGTTTAGTTACACTTCATAACAGCTTAGGTTATTAAGACTACTATTGCAGTTTGCACTTGCCCTGATTTGCAGCTTCATCCTTATCCATATGTTTGAACATTGAAGTGTGAAGTTTTTCAGACTACAAAGAAAAAGCAGCTGTTGGCTGTTGTTGTTGGGGTTTTTTGTTTGTTTGTTTTTCTGGGGTTTTTTTTGTGTTTTTTTTCCTGGATTGTTTGCTTTTTCTTCCTTGAATGGAAATGAGTTGTTAGCAGAAGCACAGTTTGTTTCAGTGTGTGTCTCTCTCTCTCTCCCCCAAGAAATAGGAGAGAATCTTTGCTGCAAGTTGTGTTCTTCAGAGAAGTAGAGAATGGACTTTCCTCTTCACCAGCAACTGTTTAAAAGCCCAGTTTTGCCTTTCAGCCTTTTTATCTTTATGGTTGCATTGTATGGTCACGTGGTGGTTAATGTTTGTGATTGCCTACTTCAGGTGGCTACTGCTCCTCTTCCTTTGGCATAGGAAGGGTCAAAACCAGCCATGTTTATTGTTTTGGTACATATTTACTCAAATACTTGGGTTTTTTGCATTAAAAGAAGTTGTGGTACAAAAAGATTTTCTTTATTTGTGAAAGGTCTCAAGCACTCAGTGATAATCTGAAAGCTTGAAAACAAAAAATTTATCATGGCTGATCTCCTGTGTGGTTTTCAGATTTTCATTCAGGTAGGCAGGATAAACATATCAAAATGTACCTAATTCTGTTTAACTGCGGAACAATAAAGGGAAAAAAATTGATGAGACTCAATGGAAGCTTTTTTTTTCTCCAGAGGTATTTTTTGTCTTCACTGTGCTCTGTCTGGACTTTTCTGCTGGCACTTTCACACTCCTGTATGAATTAATGATTTAGGAAGTTATTTGAGAGAAACGTAGAAGGATGTACTTGAATTGATGTTCTTTGGTGTTTTTGCAATTAAAAGTGGTTTGCAATAGAGGAAAATCTTGCTATTCCCTTAAAAACACATAATAATAATCCCACAGTGATCAGTACTTTAAGAATGGGAAGGCAGCAATACTGATGAATTTTGCTGGATATTTGGAAAGAAACCCGAGGACTTTGAAGAGAGATGTTTAAGTCAAATGTCCTCTTATCTGTAACCTGTGTTTTTCAAGAGATTCAACACTAAAGTATGTTTTCAACCATAGCCTATATGTGGAAAATTTGAGTTAGACTGGCTACTTAGGAGGAAGCATTGCAAAGTCTTGTGTTGTGCCAGTTGTTTTGGTAGCTGTGTGGTGAGGAAACTTCTGTGTTTTAATCTTACAACCTGTTGAGACTCATGGAAAGTATTGATTGGCAATCTGAATTATAAATCGACTAATAGACAGGGAACGGGGGAAGCCACTAGATGGGTAAATAAAGTTAATGTCATGGCCCCTTTCTCTCTCCAGAATACTGTCAGACATTGTGTTTATGCAATCAGATAAATAAGTAAGCTCTGACATGCTGCTCAGAGAAAGAGAGGTTTCAAATATATTGCACTAGAAATTCTGCATAAATGCTTAAATAGCATTTCTTCAAGAGCATCAGTTGAAAGGTGATTTTGCTAGATCATCTATCAAAAAGACATGAAGAAACAAAAGAACCTCATTAGAATCTGCTTTTTCTGGTATTTTTCTTTAAAGCCTTGGAATTAGTATTTCTATTTTCTTAAACATGTTACTATGGTTTTTATTTCCTATGAAAATTATTTACAAAATTTTAATTAGAGGGCATCAGCATCTGAAGATGCTGATAATAATTGTGACTTGGAGGGGGAGGGTTGAAAATGGACTTTTTCAGTAAGCTAGATACCAGGCTTGTGATTCTTAATATATTGCTGCTGTGGAACTGATAGTTTACCCATCCTAGAATTAGCAGACAAAGTATAATTCTGCAGGTTTTTTTCTCTGTGTATGTGTGTGAGTATTTTGTTTCTGGGTTTGGTAGCTTAAGGTTTTTGGTTTTGTTTTTTTTTTAAGGCCAAAAGCATAAAACAGTGGGTTTAATTTTTCAGGACTCAAAGATTCAAGAAAGATGGCTCTAAGACATGTAAGAACCTGGCTGAAGAGAGAACATTAATTTTTAGCAGCACACTTCCTCCTGCATGCTTTTTTTTTTTTTATTTGCAAGGCTGGAGTTTCTCAGAGATTAATCTGTGGGCAGTTTTTCTGCCAAGGACATGAAGGTATAAGCAAAGTATCAAAGGAAGGTGCCAGAGGGAAAGAGCTTGCTTATTATTGTAAATAGGAGCTGGAGAGGATTAGGATTGTTATCTAAATATAAAGCAGGGAAACATAATTTGAACTGGAGGTTAGTTTTGGCACATCCACAAATTGATCCAGACTGCCCTACTGCTTGAGATGAGGCTTGATAAGCTTATTGAAGGATTGAATTAGCATGGTGTTTGCAACAATAGTAGGTTGAATATGGTGTCCCAGTGGGGAGAATTGCATCCAGCTTTTTGTTACAAAGTGAGATAACAAGAGTTTTGTATGTCTTTTTTGGGGTCATCCTAATGCACGACTTGGTATCTAAGAATTGTCTTGTCAAATGCTGACTTTTTTCCCTCTTCTGAATTGCTCTTCTTTTTTTCCTCTTCTCAAGGGCTTGGATTATATTAGATCAATACAGGAAGAAGTCAAAGCTTTTCCGTACAAAAGTTCTGTTAGCTCCACTTGGGGATGATTTCCGCTACACCGAAAGCTCTGAATGGGATCAGCAGTACCAGAATTATCAGAAGCTGTTTGATTATATGAATTCTCGTCCTGAGTGGCATGTTAAGGTAACTACAACATATTTTCTGGTTTGTGTAGAAAACAGTATTTCCCAATATTCTGTGATTCTTCATGGAAAAAGTAATTGTGGTTAGGTTAGGTTTTTTTCAAATGTGAATCTTTATATATTATATAGCAGCAGATTGATGTAGCTTACTTTTTTTTTTTTACCTTTACTACCTTCTCTCCCCCAAAACCAAAAACGTTGCTATTGATAATATTGGCTTGAAAACTATAGATAGTTTCCAAACTAGATTAATTTGGGGAATAGCTAGTAGGTTTAATAGTTTTCTTAGCCAGTTTTCACAGGCTTCAGACATTGTTACTTAAGACTCACAGACTTTGTTAATTCAAACAATTGTATTTTCGTATTAGAAGTTCAAGAGGATTTTGCTGCTTTATTTGTGTCCTGTTGATTTGACATCCCAAAACAAAAAAATCTTAAGAGATGCCATTGCTGGCACATGTTGTTGAATACAATAAAATCTGAGACGACCTGGTTGCAAAAGGACTGAGTATATTAACACAATTATCAGAGGAGGTACCACTTCAAATCAGCAATTATGTGTAAGAGTTAAAACACACATTCATATGATCTAATGTGTACTTCTTGAAGTACAAGAAGGCCCTAGGGACTTCTGGTGCTACAGATGTTCTCTGTATTCTGACAACTTCTCATCATCTTTCAGCATGACATTAACAAATGTGGGCCACAGCCTTGGGGTTTTTGAGTGTTACCTGAGAGTGTACTTTTGCTTGCTTTCACATTTAGGCTTTTTTTTAAACCTGGTATCTTTCATATGGTTTGTACATGCAACTGTTTTTCCTTATATTTTCTGAGAACTCCCCTGATTCCTCCTGTGCATTTGGGTAGTGTCTGTAGTATGTTATTAGTTTCTGCTGACTTCTGGACTTGTATTCTGCATAAGAAAAATTATTTCTTGGGATTATATCTTATCTGAAATATGGATTTTGTGTATTTCCTATGGGATGTGGGTGACATGATGTTTGGTGAAGGACCACTATATCTTAGTGGAGGGAGACAGACCTGGAGAGTACTCTTCAAATTTCTTAAAGACCATCTTCTAAAACTTAAGCTTGCTGCTATCACTAGCTTTACTTCTGTCAAAAATGTGTGTACTGTACAGGTAATCGCTCTTTGGATACTAACAGCAACATATTTTCTGTAGTTCTTACTAACCTGGGCTGGATGACTTTGTCTCTGGGGCAAAAACTAAAGGCTCTGGCTCTGAAGTCATTCTTCAAGAGCCAATGCTGTCTTGATACCTCTGAAAGTTCCTCTTCTGAAAGGTTCTGTTGAGCCCATTGTCAAGGATTCTAGCAGTCTACTTCATTAGGCTAGGTGTGCCCATCCAGATTCACATTAACCCTTGCTTCTCTCATGGAAATATCTCGTTTTTAATACCCAGACAAAAAGATACAAAATCCTCTGGGTCTGCTGCTTCATACCTAGGGTATTTTGATCAGCTGGAACACTGTTGGCATCAGAACATTTCTCCTTTCCACTTTGTTCAGATACATAGGTTTTCCTCTCTCTATTTCTGTTCTTTTTTTTTTTCTTCTTTCTTAGTTGTTTGTTGCCTGTCTGTTGTGGGGTTTTTTTGTGTGTGTTTTTCTGGTTTGGTTAAATTTTTTGTTTTGTTTGAAACTGATGTCATTTATTCTTGAAAATATGAGCTTAAATGGAGACACATTTTCTTTCTTTCACACTCCTCTGCACTTTCCCTAGTGGAATGTAACTCCACAGGCAAGTAACAGGACATGCTCAGCTATGTAAGAATCTAGATTATATAAAGGAGAAGTTCACATTTCTTCCTGAAGTGCTGAGATGCCTGGGATATTACTGTTTGCACAAGGGAGTGCCTACTCTGCCTTTCTGATCTGAAGGGAGAATTATTCTTTCAGACAGCTCTTTGTGATGTTTATCTAGTGGATATGTCTGTTAGCATTGAGATTCTCCTGCCAGCCACTATTCTGTTCTAGAAGTGTGTGGTACATCACTGTAAAACACAGCTATTTTGCTCTTGAGGAATTCAGTCTCCCATTCAGAGATTTCCTTTGCATCTATTATACATAAATTAAGCTGTCTTTTACTATGCCAACAGAAGACTCTACCAGGTTATTCCACTGTTTCCATTCACTTGACTTTGATGCTTCTGCTGGTGAGGTTTTACTCCTCTGATTCAATGCAGAAGTGAGATCATCTCTGTGTCTTCTCTTGGTGTGTTGGTTTTGTTTTTTGTTCTTTACTTGTAGGTAGGTGCCTATGATAGTGAGGGAAAAGAGCAAGTATCCTAGAAGAGCCTGATAAGACAAAGTTTACTAATGGTGGGATTTCAGAGGCAATGTTTATCTTTCTCTGCTTTACTGCCGTTTAAAGTGGCAAGTTACTGTATTGTCTCCACCTAACAAATACTTGGATGATCTGAACAACTTTGAAGTGAAAATCTTTGGGGTTTTTTAATGATTAAAAAGTGTGATTTCGTTGTTACAGTGATAGTCTGATACTCCTTATATTCCAAGTCACTTTTAAAAAGATTTTTACCAAAGCTTGGTTTTGGCGTTGTAAATTGCAGCATGCTACATTGTATACTTGTTGTTAAACATAATAATATTAATAGGAAATAAAGTTACTTGATATTATCATTATAGTTTATGGTGAGGATATTTCTGGTAACATAATGTGGTCTTCTGTCCTGTTCCAGCTTCCATTAACTTTTTTTTCACTTTCATTCAAAATCCATTTTGCCATCTATGCTTCTTTAACAACATGTCTCAGTACTAACAACATTGATGCCAATCATTTATTTACTCTTTTTTTTGTTCCCCTGAATCTTAAGGATACCAGTTTTTGACCTACCCTGTAAAGATCTGACCATTTTTAAAAATGACCAGGAAATAATGAATTTATTTTTTTGCTCCCACGTGTTACATCTCTTAATGCAATTTCTTTGTACAGAGTTGTCATGGATTGACACTGGCACAGTGCCAGTACTTCCGGGTCAAACCATGACAAGAGTTTAAGGAAACAGCTTCTGAAAGCAAATGCTGATTTGATCAACAGTCATCTTTTGGGTTAAGCAAGATCTGGAGTATGAGAGCTAATTTTGAAAACACAGAATTAGGAGAACTATGTTTTTGGTGCATTACAAACATTTCTTCCTTAGCTCAGACAGCTAACTGGGTAATACTGAGGTGTTACTCAGCCCATATATTGCTGACTTACTTGTAGTATATGAAACAATTCTTCACTTGTTTGTTGACCTTTAGATAATATTTTTATATATATTTAAATAATAATAATTTAAAAATCATATTTCTTGAGTTGTAGAGTGGTTTTGGTTGGAGGAGACCTTTGAAATTGACTCATCCAACTGCCCTGTAATGAGCAGAGACATCTTCAAAGATTGACCCAGAGTCCCATCCAATCCAGCCTTGAATGTTCCCAGAGATGGGGTGTCCATGACCACTGTGGGCACCTTGGATTTATTGCCTCCCTCATATTAAAAGTTGTCTTTATATCTAGTCTGAATCTATCCTCTTTTAGTTTAAAACCATTACCTCTTGTTTTAGCACAAGAGGTCCAGCTAAAAGCCTGTCCCCATATTTGTTGCAAGGTCCCTTTCTGTACTGAAAGACTGAAGGCTCCCCAGAGACTTCTCCTCTCCAGGCTGAACAACCACATCTCTCTCAGCCTTTTCTCATAGGGAAAGTGTTTCTCTGAACTGCTTTTGTGACTCTTCTCTGGACATGCTCCAACAGATCCATCTCTTTCTTGTATTGAATTGATGTGCCTTTTTTGAAAATACGTCTTGTATTGAGTTTTGAAATGCTATCCAGCTTGTCTGAAAAGTGTGCATGGGAACTTTAAAAATTTTTAGGAGAGGTTTTCTGCTATAAATCTGCCAGAAGAGTTGTGTATTTCTGCAATGCATATGGAACCAAGCATATTCATTGTTTTTGTATTTTCTGCGTAATGAAAATGGAACTTTCTTACAGTAATTTTAATTTTCATCCAGGCCCAGTTTGGAACTTTATCTGATTACTTTGAAGCTCTGCTCAAAGAAAGCAATTTGGGTGAAAAGAGCAGCAATTCACTTTTTCCTGTTTTAAGTGGAGACTTCTTCACCTATGCAGACAGAGATCATCATTACTGGAGTGGGTACTTTACATCACGACCCTTTTATAAGCGCCTGGACAGAGTCTTGGAATCCTACATAAGGTAAATCCTGCCGTCCAGGGCATTCATAATGTGTTTCTTGGAACACAGGAGAGATTAATGTGTAAGTATTTGTCACGATTTAACTTCAGAAAGCCCCTTGCTCACTCCCCACCAGCAGGATCTTGAGGAGAATTGGAAGGGTCAAGGCTACAAAACTCATGAATTGAGATAAAGGCAGTTTAAAAGGGAAAGCAAAAGCCACACCCACAAAAAAACAAAGTAAGGAATTATGGCGGCTATGGTGTGAACTTTTTTAGAGAAAAGTAAAAACGTTCTCAGAGGAAGCTGAGAAATAACCAGGAACCAAGTGATCTAAGACTACTATTCTTCTGAAAACTGTCTGCATCTTCTTTAAAGAAGAAATTGTTGCTGAATTTTGGTAATGGAGTATTTAAGTGGTTCTCCCTTGTAGCAGACATAAGATGATTTACCTGTGTTATAGAGCTCCAGAAGGAAATCTAGGGCAGATGGATATGAGGTAAATCCTGAACATTTTACATATAGCCTTCCTGAAGGATTGCAATTTTTTTGCTGTAATGGATGCTGCAGTAGTGGAACGACCAAGAGAGGTGTGGAAAGTGGCATTTCAAAGCAAGCTTGGAAACTGGTGGTTTGGAGGCAGATACAAGTACCTTTCAGAAGAGAAACTGTATCTAGCAGAAATTGTTTTATTTCTTCCAAGGAATCCAGTTTTTACTGTGGTAAGGTGGATGATTCATAGCAAGAATCTTTAATTTTCAGTGAAAATAACGTTGTTTATTACTGCTGTTGGAGAAGAAAAGATGCACAAGAGAACAGGAAAAAAAGGACAGATAATATTCTTATAAATTGAATTATCTAGTTAATTGTTTTTTCAGTTTTGATTAATTTCCTTTCTGTTTCTTAAAGTACATGAAGGGTGTAATTTCCTTCATCTTCATCATAGTCTTATTTTTTCAAGATTTTTAGGCGTCATTACTTAATTGTCATTTTTCTGTTTTTTATTACATAGATTACAGAAAATTTCATATGAATTTGTGTGTAGTATTTAAAATTTTACATTATTAGAGAGATTCCTTAATTTAAATGCTTCAGTTGCCTTCAGCTTCTGAAAAAGGTATACTCAAAAATCTCTGGAGACACACTAATCTGTCAATGTTCTTACGTATTAAAGTATAGTTTAAAAAAGTACCTGGGAAGTTTTTAGTTTTTCACTATCCTTTGAAAATAACATGTAATAAAAAAATGTATAGATGTGTTCTCATAATTTTAATATCACATTTTTTGTCAGTTTTGTTTTCAGAAACCATGAGAATCTTCATGAAGGTCACATTAGCTATGAGAACAGTAGGAGTAGGGTTTTTATCTTTTATTTTTTATTTCTTTAAAGTCAAAGGAAATACAGTAGGATCATATTTAATCCTCAAACTCATGATAATTATTTCCATAGTATGTTTGAGCTAATATCCATCTATCTGTCTGTCTGGTGTATGTCCATATTTGTGAGAGAAGGAGCCATGAACAGAAGGTAAATATGTGTGTGAGTGTGCTCTTTACCAAGGATTAAGGCTTGTGACTTCCAGGAGTATGAGAATTAAGCAGCATTTCACTGTTACGTGATAGCCAGAAGATAGTGTTCAGCCCCAGGACCCAATATGAAAACTAACCATTTAAGCAAGACAAGAGTTGGTTAAGGTTTTTCCTGTTTGAAAAGAGGTTTTTTTTTTTTTTTGTGGGGATGTGTAGTAAAGAAGTGTGAGAAGCTTAAGGACTTTATAATGGAGATTGACAATGATATGAGTCATTATTGACTTTTTAATCTTAAGTGAGAGATGGATGGATTGAAGTAGTTTAAAGGGTGATAAAATATGTGAACAGAAGTTTATTTAATGTAATGAAAAGATACAAAGAACAGCAGCATAGTTTGAGACAAGTTAGGGACACAGTTTTTGGTTTTATTAGTTACTGATGTAAACAGGGAAAAATCGCAGTAAATCTGCAAAAAGAAAATTGAAGTGATTTAGAAGGTGAATGCTACAGTGATACTTCTAACTATACAGATGGATAGAAAGTACTACATCTTGAAAGTTCAAAATCTCTTGGAAATATTATTTATTTAAGTTAAATATAAACTGGACCTAGGTAAGGTAAGCTTGTGTAGGCCTCGACAAATAAGTGAAGCAAATTTTGGTGGGACAGATACTGCAAATTACAATGAAGTAGAAAATTTCTGAAAGCTGTATTAGGTCATCTGCAGTAGTTTGAAACAGATGTGAGAAAACCAAGGCTTTATGCAGCTTTTATGGAAAGGTATTAGGTGCTTACCTATAAGCTAAAGTGTTCTCTAATACAGTGTTGTATTTCTGAGTGTCTTTCATCATTGACCATTGAACCTTTTTAGTGTTTAGAAAAATACTGAGTTATGAAAGGAAAATTCTGCATCTGAGAGATGACCCTATTAATTAAAAAGAAAAGTAAGTTAAAATTAATTGTGGGGAAGAAAATCTCACCTTATTTTGAGGACTAAAATTTGTTGCATTCTCTTCTTTATAGATAAGTTAGGTCAGTGTTTAGTGGCTAACTTGTTTTTTTTGAAAAAAGGTAAAATGATTTTGGACAGGGTTTATTCACTAGATGAATGAGCATCTGATTACTTTTTTTCGACTAAAATATTTTCATTTTTCTTTCAAATTAAGCTGCAATAGGACAAAGTAGGAGGGATTGACAGAAGTAGGAATTTGCATTAAGCAACATTTAAATTACAGTGATTAAGGTTAATCTAGCACTGATAATTAAATATAGGACTTACAACTTTTTAACACCTTGATTTTGTATGTATCTTCTGAGCAATTACCTAACCGGTAAGAGCAAAATCTCCACCTGTTCATGAAATATTGACAGTATTAGAATAGTTTAGGCTGTTATAGGTATAGTGCACCTTTCAGTTTACTTGGGTATGTCGTCGTTGCAGTTTTTATATAACTGTTACCTATGTGTTGGATAGAGATGAAGAGAAAATTGAGTCTAAAGGAGTTTTTCATGTTAACAATTAATATAATGCCTAGTCTGAAAACAAAAGAGTTTTTGTTAATTTTTTGTTTTATATAGTTTAAAATTGAACGCATGCCCTCACTGCCAACTTGGGTAAATAAAAGAGTTAACTTATTTTCCTTTTCTCTTTAGTTTATTACTTGCAGGCCTAGAAGTTAACATTACAAGAAAATATGTTGTTGTGATTTCTTTGCTATTTGTGTCATTAACCTGTATCATCTTCGTTGCTTCAAGTACTTGAAAAATGTTCATTAACCTCTAATAAATTTTGAAAAATAATCTGATGCTTTTCAGACTTACAAAAAGAGAACTACAACATTTTAGGAGAAGATAGGAAAAAAAGTTAACCAATGTTTTCCCAGAATTAATGCAGGCATTTTAGTCGGTTAAATATCCACAATAACTGGCAATTATGGGGATATTTTTTGTAAAATACACTTAGATTCTCATAAAGTAAGTGAGAATCTAGTGGTAATATTTTAGTGCTAGGCTTTTGCAACAGATGTAGAAGAGAAGGGCTCTGCATTCTGTTCTGTGTAAGGGTTTTGGAATCCAGTGTTCTCTCCATTCAGGTGAGTGTAGTGAGCAGGTGCATGAGATGGTTAAGCCTTTAGAAAAAATTGGTTTGCTTTAAGTGCAAATGTCAGAATAGATATTTAACAATATACAGATTGGTATATTTATTTAAAACAAATTTATTTGATTAATAAGTTGTTTTTTGAAATGGGAATTATATGCTTCTTTTAAGGCACTCTATCCATGCTGTGAGGTTTAAGACCAATTCCATATACCACTCACACATTTATAACTGTGTATTTTAGTTTATGCTGTCATATTTTTATTTTAAATGTCCATTTTCCCAGGACCCAGGAGTCTTGCAGGAAGTAACGGTATGAAGATAGGCTAAAATGTGCAAGAACAAGGTTTATAGAGCTTATGGAACTATTTACCATTTATTCTTTAGCTCAAGTGTGTATTGCTTTTTACATTTTAACCCTGTATAAATACTTGATTAATCTCTGCAATTCCAGGGCAGCTGAAATTCTCTACTCCTTGGCTTTAGTACAGTCCAGTAAATCTGAGAAGATGAGTGTATTTCCTTCTGTGGATAACTATAAATTGCTGACAGAAGCTAGGAGGAACCTTGGACTCTTCCAGCATCATGATGCTATTACAGGAACAGCCAAAGATTGGGTAGTTGTGGATTATGGCACCAGGTAATTTATTATAAATACATAAACTTAAATCTTGATCTCCTTTTCAGTTTTTAAAACTGAAGTGTTTATTTCAGACATACAGATTTGATACAGCAACATACTTCACTGAAAGTGTAGAGGTGCTCTACATGAGAAGTAGATTTGATTACCCATGCTCTTCATTTACACAATATTTTTGAACCCTCTGAGCAAGAATTTGGTGTCCAAACAAAATTTTGGTATTTCAAAAGGTAGACACATTACTGAGATTTCCTTAATAACAGAATTTTTCTGCAGTAAGTCGGAGAACTTTTTGTATTTGTCTGTCCTAAGCAATAATCAAAGATGCGCTAATTTAAGCATATATTCCTTGGAAAATCCCACCTTATCCACACCCTCTGTGGTCTACCTATCTTAAAAGTGGAAAATCTTTTTGTGTTGAAAATCTTCTACTTAACTTGTCCGTCATTGTTTATTGTTTCATTTGGGGGATATTTCTCAGTATTGATAAATTATTCTGCTAGCGTCTTCATAGATTTTTTGAAGAACATTGCATAATATATGCATGTCTCTGTATACATATGATTTAATTATGAGTTTATTCAGAAAATTGCTTCATATTGGAGTGTTAAGAACTAGTACATTTGATTAATCGAGGTGATGATGGTAGACTGATGATATAGCATGTTCATTAAATAAGTAATTGTTTTAAATGCATCTAAAATACTCTTTCTTGTTTAAAACCATTTCATGACAAGTATTTTTAAATTCCATATTTTTAATCTAATAAATAATAAGTATTCACAATGCACTTAGTTATGAGAGAGTGAAATAAAGGCTTTTTTCACTTTACAAATAAAATTATCCAGCTCTCTTTCTTTAGAAATCTGTGGACATTCTGGTAGTTTATATAGTTTATAGTTTATATTTTTTCTTTCTGATTGTTCCCTTAATCCTGTGCAAATACGGTCTTGACTTCCTGACCAGTGTTTCAGGTTTGTTTCCACTATAGAAACTGAAAATTAAATATACAAATTGCAAACTTTCCTAAGATTAGCATTTTGAAAAAGTACTTGGTGTTCTGAGGATACACCTTTGGTAGCACAGCATACAGGAGGAGATGTACCTCACTTTCAGTATGCAAGACAAGAATATAATTCAGAATATTTCTACATTTTTCAGGCTGGTCACCCGTTGCAACTAACTGTTCTCAATTTCATGCTATATTGATGCTAAAATATTTATTTTTCTGCAACTCATATTTTTGAGTTCCTTAATGTTTTTAAATTTTGATGTTATAATACTGAATAAAGCCAATTGAAAAATAACTAAGATTTTAAATGTTTTAACAGGCTTTTCCATTCAATAATGAATTTGAAGAAAGTAATAATTGACTCTGTTCATATTCTTATCCTAAAAGACAAAAGTGCTTATAGCTATGACACAGCAACTCCACTCCTGAAGATGGTGAGCTCTCTTCCTTCATTTTTTCAAAAAATGAAATGTGAACTATGTCTTTTTTTGAAATGTGTTTGAAATGAAATGTGAACTATGAGTAGCCCTGGGAAACATCAGAACTAAATTTGCAGCTAATGCCTTCTCAGAAATGTGCTACTTATCACTCTTCACATTAACTGAAGATACTAGAAATTAAAAAGTGAACATGTCAGCAGTTGATGCTGAAAAGAAGCATCAACACATGGCCAAAGGAAAGGGACTTATTTTGTTCCCCTTTGGGAGTTAGATAGTAAAAGCAGGTGTTCTAATTTTCTTGTGGACATAAATGTGTTGGTGACTTCAGTGATATACATAAGTGAATATATAACAGTATGCAGTCCTGAAATTTTACTTCGCTTCACAGAGGAACTTAAGAAATGTGGGAAGAAGAAAATTCCCTTCCCTAACTGAAGTCTAACCTTAGTTTGCAAGATTAGGTCAAGACAATACCTTGTGTTCTTTTTACTTTGCTGAAATTATTTGAAAGAGGAATGTTCAATGAAATGGACAATAAAGTCAGCAGTGGATCCTCAGGTATCATTTTGAGACCTATTTAACAGTGAAGAACACCTTGAAGAAACACACTTGCTAGTATTGCTTCCTTTCAGAATTCTTTGTTTCTTCACTTTCTGAACAAAAGTGCTCTTCTGTGACAGCTATGAATTTTTAGAAAGTCTGTTTAGTGCATTTACCCTGAAGACAAAATGAGATGCTTTAAGTTCTTTGTGCATAAACACAGTAGGGTTAAAACAGTCTTTATGATATGATTATCTCACATTTCTGACATAATAAACACGACATACCTTCTACTGGTTTAGTTGTGCCAGATGTGCCATATCTTGAACTATTTTTCCAGTCACATGTATACATAAAATTTTTTTGTTAAAATAGCTCTTTATACTTTTTATTACTTTTATACAAATATATATGTATAAATATGTGCTGCATGTGTATGCTACATGTTTGTGTGTCACAAATATGTAATTTTTCTCCTCTTTGGAAAGTGAATGTGCACTTTCGTAAAGTAGGAATATTTTGAAGGCATTCACGGGATGAAGATTTTACTCCTGCTCTGAATTATATTGGAAGATGTTGCAATGTTACATTTTACTAAACTTTTGCTGTTCCTGTTCTTCATCAGTCTGGATTAATACCTCTGCATTGTAGAAGTACTAATTGCTGTTTAAACTGTATATTGCCAAGGAGCATACTAATTCAAAGCTATTATTTCCACTGTGAAAGCAGAAATTAAAAAGGAAGTTGTTACTGCAATGAATTTATTGTGTCTATATAAAACAAAAAAATAAGGTGATTACAAAAACAGATTAAGATTTATCTGTTTGCCATACAATATCTGCAGCATATCATTAATCTAGTGTCTCTGCTATGCATTGGATATAGCAACAAAAGCTTTTTAATGTGGGATTTGTAGACTGCTAACAGGAGAACTTCAGGATACCTACAGAACACCTCTGCACACCTTGAGTAAGTTGGAAGTTCAAAGGCATTCATTTTGGAGTGGTATTTTGGTGGCTGATGGAAGCTGACATCAGAAATTGCTCAGCAATAGGCATTCAGAATGAATGTCAAGAGAGTTGAGAAAGACAAATAATGGAGACTCTAAGACTGAAAGTGGCTGTTGTTTTTGAGGGGTGAAGAAGTCAAAAGCACGTAGAGGAACAGAGCACAAGACCATAGCAGCAGCATTCCAGTAGGTAGCAGGGGCAACCAGGGAAAAGTTCCTTTTCTTGGAGGCAGAAAAAAGGAAGTTGGGAATAAGACACTATTGAAGAGCTCTGGAATGACACCACTTGCACTTTTCCACTCTTCCTAATTATTAGTTGCACACAAAAGCATCATGGTTTTCTCATGAATACTTTGTACTTCTTGTGTTAAGTTTTACAAACTCTACGCTAGTAAACAAACATGAAGTCACTTGGAAGGCAATACACTGATAAAGAGAAGACCCTTAAAGATCCCAGAATGACCCAGCTTTGGTTGGATCATGAATGAGATTCAAAATGTAAAAATAAAATTTCAACCATTACACAATTCCTGTACATTAATCTTAGTTCTTTCAGTGCAGAAGGAAAATTTAAATGTAAGTGACAGTTGCTGGATTTGAGAAACATTATTTTAAGGATGTTTTGAGGAACTGAGAACTCTGCACTTCAATTTCAAAGTCTGTAGTGGTCACCATTTTAAGGACTGACTGGAATGCACTGTGAATCAGCAGATTGGCTGTTCTCTTAGGCTATGCAACAGTGACAGCAATGTCTTGTCTCTATCTTTCCTCAGTGGAAGTGAACGCTGTACCACACCACACCCCAAATTATGTTTTTTGAAACTTTTCTTTTTGTACAATATAAGGTAACAATGACAGCTCACAGGAGACTATACAATGAGTGCTTCTGATAAGTGCACAGGAGCATATTGTTTCAGAGTAAATTTATAGTAGGAGAAATTGAATAAAAATATGTGATAAGTATTTGCAAAATTTGAAGAAGTTGGTGATTATGAAGGCTTGTATGCAAAAACGAAAACACGGGTGTAATAATTTGATAATGGAATCTAATAAGATCTTTAATCAAAACAAATATTTCCCAGTGAATTGGTCAAAGTAAGCATCTTTCTGTTGTCATGTAGTTAGTTTATTAAATTTTGTGGTTTGTCACCCTCAGTAACGGGCTCAAATAAGATTTGTTTTCTGGTGTTGTTAACGTGGTTTTGCACTCCACAAAATGCATATAATCGACAGAGCTCATATATTACTCATTGAAGTGTATTCAAAAGCAAATTCAAAGATGTTCTCTTGTAGGATGATGTTCAGGCTTCTCAAGATTCTTTGCCACGCAAGACAGTTATAAAGCTGACATTGCAACCCAGGTAAATAATTTATATATTACTCAGTGTCTGAGAGTCTTTTAATAATATATGTGTTTTCACTACCTAATAAATAGTTTTTTAATGTAATTTCCTTTATTTTCTTTTTTTTTTTTTTCAATTTTTTGCTCAAAATAGAGCTAAAAGTTTTTAAAAAATAAAGAAAATGTTAAGTTATTTTGGGAGATTATGTTAATATTATTATGTCTAATTGAAAGAGGACACAGCATGCTAAAACTATAGGCATTTCTAACATACCACAGCTGAAGTAAGTGTTCTGTTTCTGTGTGCTTTTACAGCATTGTAATACTAAATAGATTGTGCTTGAGAGAAGCAATAGAAGATTCTAATTAGGCAGAATTACAGGTGCCTCAATTAACTCTGTGAGCAAAATGTTAACTTTTTATAAAGCCTAAAAATCACAGTTTATAAATAGTGAATTGTCTTTAAAAATCAAGTAGAAGATAAACTAGGATACTGTACTCTCTTAACTCCAACTTTCCATTCTATTAAGAGGAGTTAATTTTATTTATATGCAGTTGTAGGGTATTTCAGCTGTAGAGTATTCCTGCTATGTCCATGAACACTCAGTATCCCATCTGAAATAATGTACACATGCATTTAAAGTGGCTAATCCAAATAAAGTGAATAAGGTGTTTGGGTATGGGAACTACTGTCTGTGTAAATCAAATAGTGCAAGGTTTTTGCTTACAGAACAGAAGATTTAAGATTAAATTAAAAAGCAGTGAATGTTATTTTTGCTGATGTTAGTATCTGATTTCTCTAGTTCTAGTGGCAAGCTAATAAGACTTACTTGCCTAATTGGTGCAGATGTCCAACTATTCAGCTGACTAACAGCTACTGTTAAAAAATATAGTTCAAGTATTTGAAAAAGTGAGTAAAGTTTAGTTCTTGTGACCTTTTTAGGGGAAGCTGTCTTCAGTCTTCCAGTATTAATATACATAATTTGTCTAGTGTATGCTTTTCTCTAGAGAACGCTTTTTTAAAATAGGACGTCTCTTACTGGAGTGCTGTATAGATGCTAATAGATTATCTTAAACTAGTCCAAAATGACCAAGAACTCAGGTGCCTATTTCTTTAACTAAAATGCTTTAGCTTTTCAAAATTATCTCCTCAGTTTTCTTCACTGGAAGACGATTGTATATGTAGTATATTAGCACTTGGTTGGAGGCAAGTTATAATGTAGATTTTCTTTGCCATTTGAGGATAGCTTTATTGCCTTTGCTTTCCTTATCTAGGTTAGCTGTTGAAATTTTCCCTATGCCCTTTTCATCCCCTAATACACCTTTTGCAAACAGTGTTCCACTTTTGTCTCTGCATAATATGCTAAGTTTTTCCCTTCTTGATCTTAATTCATTTCAGACATTTGCCTTTTTTTTCCCCCCTCTGACTTGTAAATTAAATAAATATATGTGACATTACCAATAATATTATTCTGGCAGACTACTGCTGCTATTCTCTAAACTGATCTTAACTTACCTAGAAAATAATACTAGTAGAAAATTGCTAACTTTATGTTGTCTGGTACTGTGACGATACCCTACAGTCATATAAGATATGATATATGTTCCAAAGACTGCAGTCAGAAATATGGGATAAAGAATGAAGAGGGGAAAAATGAGACAGAAAGGGCAAAGAAAGATTATAAGAGAATATTGATATTACTGACTAAATCTTGGGTTTTTTTACATCCTTTCTTGAAAACACTTTGAAAGTAATGCATAAGTGTATAGTACTTCATGTTTTATTTGTTGTTAAAATTTTCATTTGAATATCTCTTTGTTAAATTGTTTTTGCTTATAAAAATTAGCTTAGTCTCTTTAGGCTTCTAACTTTATCTCTGGTTGTAGTCTGAATCTCCACTAACTTTATTACCTTTGGGAAAAGTGGTATGTAAGCTGACACTGTAATTACTGGTTAAATCTAATATGTGATTATTATAATTGCATCTGAATTTTCTTGTAGCATTTCATGAGAAATGTTATTTTCAGTAGAAGCTTAAACTCGACTAAATAAATCTATTATTAAGAATTACTATGCTTAAACTTCAGACTTTAAAGCTTATAAGAAGGAAACTGGTTTTTTTTTCATTTAAAATTTTGCAGCATCTGCAGATTTTAAAAATTGATTTTCACCAAAACTTTGTTATTTGCTTATCTTCTGTTCTTAATATTCTTTATTATTCATCTGTGTGTAATTGAATCTCTAGATTTCTTTCTGCTAGTGTATTCTAATATGTCATTATATGACATAGAAATGAAATCAGTGTAACTGGCAAGGTGTTTGATTTTGACTGGCTATTTAGCTTTTCTTTGATTGGCTATTTAGCTTTTCATATTTTTGCATTTCTGTGTCAGAATTTAATGTGTGCATTCTATTGTGGTTATTCTTACATAAGTGTGGTTCATATCACCTGTGTTTTTAGAGGGACACTGCTGCTGGGTAACTCATAATGGCTTTTTAAATTTCAATTTTTTTTTCCCCTTATTTTAGTGATTGCAAATATAATCAGCTTTCTACAGGATCATAGTTGGTAGTGTGCTTTTTGCCTGTTTCATCCATCCTTTCGTTTGGGTATTTTTTAGTTAAGTGTTCTCTTCATTGCTCATGAAAGTTGTAGTTGATAGTGAAAACTGATCCGACAAACTGTACAGGAGAGCTAGGGCAACTTGATTACATGCAAGAAAAGGAAAACAGGAAGAGATCTATCTTTCATTTGTTAATGTTCTAGTGTGAAGTATCTCCATATTGTTGTGTAGTTGAGCATTATATTTCAAACTTCTTCTAAGCAGGTGCCACCTGTAATCTATTTGGTATTGTTTCTGCCCCCACCTGAGCATCTCTTCTGTTTAGTGCTGTTGTGATATCTTTATGAATCCATAAATGTATTTTTAAAGTAATATGTTAATTTTGATGAAATAGGTGTAACAGGGTATTTTAGGTGTTTGATTCCATGACCTCAGGATGACTAAGTGGTCTTATGATCTGGCTTTTGAATACTGAAATTATAGAGTCTTTAGTTACACTAAATCCTTTTAACTGATAATTGAAGTTGCATACTTTTAAAAAATATATTTCTTTTAGCTGAAAAATGGAGCTTTCACAAGATAATATCCAACTAGAGATGGAACTACTTCAGTCTTGTTCTGAAGTTTAAAATTACTGCGTGTCTTGGAGACAAAGCCCATTGAGTGTGCTGATAAATTGGATGCTGGCTCATCTCTTATCTCTTATCTCTTACTGCCCAGCAGTTTAGTATAATAATAGGTTTTCAGGAGCAGTCTACCAGAGGTCATACATTTATGAATGGTAAAAGACTTACCCTCACTGGACTTGGTGGTTGGGGGGTGTGTTTGAACCTCCTGTTGTCCAGTTTAGGCTGTCAGCAGCAGATGAAGGGCACGCTGAAGGGTTTTCCAGCTATTTCTATCTGTGCTGTTTTCTAAAAGCAGCATTGCAGGGGAACATGCTACACAACCAAATGACTGGATTGACTGTCTGCACCAGGTTGGATCTTGTCATGGTCTTGTTTGGCACAATATGGTAAATCTTAGTGAAAAGGCTTAATAATGGCAGTTAGGTTTTATCTCTTCTTCCCCCCTTTTTGTTTTAACTCCTGAACCTTCACATACCTAGCTGGGCAGTTTCAATACTGAGTTCCACTGCACTCTATCCTATCTGAACGGAAGATACTATGGTACTGAAAAAAATTTTTAAACCATCAATTTAGGAATTTTTTTTTTGTGCTAAATCAGCTATTATAATTTTACCACAAATAACTTTTGTCAACTAATCTTAGAGGATATTATATGATAACCTTCTTATCAGGCCAGTTTTATACCTTAGCAGACACTATTTCCACTAGATGAAATATTTAGCTTGCCTAGGGGGTTAATTATAGGAGGATATCAATTATTTCTTCAAAGATTTGTCAAAGCAGTTTAGTGATACCCACCTTATAAAAGAATGTTTCCTTTTTTCAAATAAAATAATCTTGGCTATTATCCTTAATTTGTTATCCATGAGTAGGTTTTGGAATAAAGTTGTGTTTAATAAAGTTTTGGCATAAGTTGTGTTTATACCATTAGGTTCAAAATGTGTAGTATTTTTTGAGAAAGAAAATCCCAATTTACCTGTATAATTTTTCATCTTGATAATCTTTTCAAAAATTCACTTGGCAGGTTAGTCACTACTTTCTCAACACAGCACTTTAATGAAGAAATTAAAGCTATATTGCTAACTTTAATGTGTGATAGAGAATAATGTACCAAAGTCAAAAATTCTTGACAGAGCAGTGTGTATGGTATTGTATTTGATTGGATGACTACAGCAAGAATAATTTGAGAAAGAAACTTTGTTAGTCATATGCCATAACTGTGTCTTTGTGAGCTTAGAATATGACTGGATCAGGGTAATACTTTTTATTTGGCAACTTTTGCTTTGGTGGTGATTTTTTTGTTTCCTTTTTCCCCCCCCCTTTAGACATATGTTGCCGATATTGTACAATCTATCTAAACTTTAGTCCAATGTAGTTACACGGAGAGGACCCTCCAACAGCATTTGACATTTTAATAATAAACATCTTAAATGTCTTTTATGCTTGCATGATTTCAGAGGCATATGTATTCCTAGTTATACTCTAAAACTGCTGGGGAAAAAAAAACAGTGGAAGAAAAGATATGTTTGTATCTCAATGAAGAAAAAAACCAAGTTTAAACAAAATAGAAAAGAATACCATAATATTTAAGTGGTGTTCATAAATGTTTGTGGCAATTTATGCATTGTTAATATGCACACCTGTTCTCCAGAGAAAAAAATAGATCTTGAAAAAAACAAGCAAACAAACAAATGCTAACCAAACCAATACTTTGAAGTTTTAATTGGATGAAATAGTGATCGCAAAATGCACAACCTTGTGTGTTTGTTTAAGTGAAATCTCTGTATTAGTATCTTTCAAGGAGGTGGGCAGGATGAATACTCAT